CTGGCGTTGCGCTCGGGGTGGTTGCTGTGCCCGGGGCTGGTTCCTTTGTGGGTCCTGCCAGGCTGGCTAAGGATGCCGTGAGAGCAACTATGTTCAAACTGGAAGCACGACATCTTGAGGGCAGTATTGGAGCGATGCAGAAGAGGCAAGCCTTCCATCTCCAACATCCAGCTGAGGTGCAGCCAAACCCCCCCCCCCAGCATCTCTTCTGGCAGCAAGCCGATACCCTCTGTTGTGGGGTCGTGTTTACCGCTTGCGAGTTGTCTGCTTCCAGCAGCTGTGCTCGAGCCCAGCCATGCAGGGTGTGAACAACGCACTCGGCCGATCTGGTCAATACGCTCCGAGGAAGTAATTGGTGCCGACTGATCCCGCCATGTTGCCTTCGCTGTATCTGTGCTGATACACTGGTGCACTACTGCATACAGAAGGAGAACATATCATTGTTTACCTTCTCCAAGCTCAGCAGCATGTGAAACACTTCAGGGTGTTTTCAAACGGGAAAGCGTAAGAGACAAGCATCAGCTTTGAAGCAAAAGATTTGACTCAGTAAAGACAGACAAAACACTTGTGGTTATTACATCATAGGCCTGGAGCACTGTAGTTTAGTAAAAAGATGGTTTTGTTTTGCTATAGCTGAGTTTTTCCTGTATAAAAATGTTTTAATTTCCTGAGAGTGGGTTCTGGGATCACAGAATCACAGAAAGGTTGGGATTGGAAGGGACCTGCAATGACCACCAAGTGCAACCCCCATGCCATGAACAGGGACATCTTCCACCAGACCAGGTTGCTCAACGCTCTGTCCAACCTGGCCTTGAACACTTTCCAGGGAAGGGACATCCACAGTTTCTCCGGGCAACTTGACTCACCACTCTCACTGTCAAACAAAAAAAAAGGTCTTCCTCATGTCTAATCTAAATCTATCCTCCTTGTGTTTAAAACCTCTGCCCCTTGTCCTGCTTGTGCTGTCATTACAGGCCTTGGTAAAAAGCCTCTCTGCATCTTGCTTGTAAGCCCCCTTTACACATTGAAAGGCCACTATAAGGTCTCCCCAGAGCCTTCTGTTCTCCAGGCTGAATGGCCCCAACTCTCTCGGCCTTTCTTGATAGGAGAGGAGGTAAACTAGCAGCTAAGAGGCAGTTTGAGTAAGTCAGTTCCCCTCCATGCTGTGCTCCGGGTTAGCTTGCCAGATGAAATCCTCTGGGTGCAGCAAGCATTCCACGTGTTTGCATGCGCGAGCTCCCTCCCATGCTCAAACAGCGGTCACGTAGGCTTTGGAGAAACACGGGGGTGAGTACACAGACCTGAAGCACATGATGTACACAAACAAAGTACAAAAGTTCAAGGTCACATGGCACCTTGTGGGGTTTTGTGGTTGGTTTGATTTTTTTCTGCCCCATGCCTGTGCATTGAACTCAAAGTTGTGATACTGCGCTGAACAAACTTGTTAAGAATAGCTTACGTGAGTCAGAGAAAATTAAGAGGCAAAGCAACTGTCAGAGGAAGACCTATCTGCTAGTTTTACATGCAAAAAAAATTAGCTGCATAGGAAGATTAGGCAATGTATTAGCTATGAAAAAATCCAAATAGTTTTCTGTTGTCGTTGACATAATCAGTTTTTACAGATTTGTATAACTCCCACTTCAATTCTCTTAAAATACTGACCGTGCTGCATTGCTGGAGTTGCATGCTGTAAAAATCACAAGTGGCAACTGTGCGATCATCCCACGACCACGGAGCTCTAGGAACACTTGGGAGAGGTAAATTGCTGATTCTTGGGTGTTTGCTACTGCCATGTGTAATTTCAAAGAATCGGCAAGTGTGGAATAGATGTAGTTCCTGTTGACTCCTGTGTTTTCAATTCTAAGTATTTTATTTAGCTGAAGGAAATACTAGTGTGATTAGTTGGTTGGGGGCTGCCTTTCAGTGCTACAGCATGGTCAGAGAGCTGATTTCAAGCTCAGGTAGTTTCTCTGTTTATGGCTATATCTAATTATATGTACAACTAATCTAGGTTAGCTAGTGTGCTAGCTAAGAACTTTAACTTAGTTTATATTTTTTGCGGAGATGATACTTGTCAAGTTTGGTTGATGTTGGTTTCCTGAACATTGTAGACCATGAATAATATGGTGCTTTGATCTGGAACATCACAAGTTATTGTCTTAAATTGTTCTTCCTAACAACAGATAAAGTAGAAGTTTCAGTAGTTTGGCTTAAACAAGCAAATTTAGAAACACAGCTTCCCTCTTGGAGCTGTTTAAGTGCCAGGAAATAAACATGTATATTCCTGGTTGAAGAGTTTGTATTTGAGCGGAAGCAGCTTTCTGGTAGTGTGTTCTTAATTCCTTAGGTTCAAACAAAGTAATTCAACAGAGCAGTCCATACATATCACATAGAAAACCACTGCTCACAGAATGAAAATCATGCACAAACAGAGGTGTAGAAAAACTGTATTTTATTTATGATACAGTGAGGATGGAATGTAATTACAAAAGTCGAGAAGCACCTAAAGCAGGAGTGAGGTGACTGTTGGAAAATCATTGTCATTGCTATAAAAGTCTCTTCGATTTCAGTTTTAAGCAGTCGGGTATATATAATCAGAGTACGCGAACAGGAAATTTGCAGCCGATCCTTTTTCTACCCCCTCTCTTGCAGTGGTGACAGACGACTTTGGGCTAAATTGCTTCTTTCTACAGAAGGAAAGAGCGAGCCATTCTGGGCATTTATCAAGCCTGGCATTCAATAACCTGGTTCTCTATGGGAAAAGATGCTGCCAAATAAATGCCTTGCTTCCTTCCCCTTCACTTCTGCAAGGACGGCTGTGTGCCAGCTGGGATGGCGGTCACCCCACTGCCCCGTGGCCCCAGCTGCCAGGACAGCATGCGTTCAGACAGACGACTGCCAGGTCTGGAACTCCTGCATCGAGCAATACACTCTCCTGCAAAACCTACCCTAGGTGTGATAGCTGCTCCAGCAGCACGTGGTTAAAGTCTGTTGGTGACGAGCGGCTTGATTTCAGGGGGGAAAAGCTGCAATGCAAAAACCACTCGGTGCCGCTGCTGCGTGGGCAGCGTGACGCAGACGAATGCCCACAACACAGTGACGCAAGAGACCTTTGTAATGATCCTTTGCCCTGGGCTATGTCTAGGGAAAAAATCCTCAAGCTTGTAAAATAAGATGCTGGTGTTCATCATACAGTCTCCTAATCAGAATAGGAAGAGTTACATTTTAGGGTCACTATTTTTGGGAGGCCTGTGGGCTTCTCCACTATTGCCAGTGGTCAAGTGCTAAAGCATGGTGAGGCTTGAAAAAAACAAATACAATAAAAAGATGATTGTCTGGGGTGTGTTTGAAATGCCCAAGCATAAAATACTAAAATCAAAGTTAAGTTTCAATACTGGACATAAGCACATTCCCGACTATATTTTCAGTATTTTGCAAGGGTTTAGCACTTTGATCACCCTGTGTTAATTTACAGAACTGCAGCTGTTAGTGTTTACTGTTGTGACAAATACAGTAAATAGAAAAGATAGATGTATTCTCTTAAAGTAAGTGTAGTGGGTATCTGACCAAGGTAACCATTTATTATTGAAGTTTTTTTGGCATTTCAAAGCTGCGAGTATTTGTATCATTTGGCAAATTATGTAATGTTAGACTAGCAAAAAATGTATATATATTGCATAGTAGGAGAACACAGCACTAGATGCGTGTGTTAGACTTAATTTGCTTTTACAGACACTTTTAAAAATTAATTTTCCATTCAGCTTTTGAGGTAATAAGTTAAAAAAGCACCAACGTGATTTACTCAAATGTCTAACTATCATGGAAGGCTTCACTGTATAAGACCTACATGATAAGCAGGTTCCTTATACTGTGAAAGACCTCTATAAATTTTTCATACAGACTTGACACCTGCTGATATGGCTTCGGATGAGTCCTGCCTTGAGCGTATCTGCCGAGGGCTTGCTTTGGAAGGGCTGGTCGATCGTAGTGAGCCAGAAGCTGTATTTATTCGCAAAGTAGTGACAGGTTCCGCGTGCGCCGTTGCATTCGATGAAAGGAGTCGCTCTGAAATCTTCCAGGCAGCTCCCAGGAGAAACCAGCGACTGTCCGCCGCCTTCATCACCAGCAGCAGTGTGCTAAACGAGACAAGGAGGGCAGCGTTCAGAGGACAACCTTGGGCAATGCTGTCAAAAACTTGCACGTGGGAAAAGGGAAAACCCACTAGAATTGCTCCTAATCCTTATCTCCGGAGCAGAGAGTCGGCTACTCCTGCACCCGTGTAAGGCTTAAGGGTTTGGCTATGTTTCAGCTATACAAAGGAGCTAGCTCATATGTTGATGCCACTTCAAACTCTTCTGGCAAACATCTTTTCTATAGTTACAGTTTTCACTGCTGGAAGTCTTAGAATTGGAGAATCATTTAGGTGGGAAGGGCCCACTGGAGCTCACTTCAGCCAGTCCCCTGCTCAAAGCAGGGCCGACTCCAAAGTTGCCCTTGGCTGCTCTGGGGCACTGCCGAGTTGTTAATACCTCCAAGGATGGAGTTTCCACAGCCCCTCCGGGCAACCTGTTCCCCTGTTTGTTTACCCTCACTGGGAAGAACTTTCCACCGTTTATCTAACTTGAATTTTCCAAATTATAAAGTCAGTCTTACTCTGCATCGCACATGAGCAGCACTGTGGAAACAAAATTAGCTTCTATGCAAATAACTAGTTCCCTCTAGGGCAGATCTTTGGCAGCAAATTACACCGAAATCATGCATCTTTACACCGCTCAGCTGTTACCTTTGACACGTACTGTGGTAACTGAATGTTACTTTTCTTCTGTCAAACGCGTCACTAACAAAACAGTCATTTCCTCTGTCCCTTTAAGAGCTATAGAGCTGCATTTTTAAGTGAAGTTGTTTAATTTTCTCTTAAAAACTGAAGGAAGTTGCAATGTAAAAGAAAACAGCTGGAAAATAAAGTTGCTAAATAGTTTTGTAAATGTAGGGAGAAATCTGAGCACCAAATCCAAAATGTCTGCCTGCCTATGTTTTAATGAACACCGTAGTATAAAAGTGCAGGCTGTAACTGGCTTGGTTTGTGCTGCGAGAGGCCCACTGTGTTCGTGTAAATGAGTAACAGAAGTGGCCACCTTTTAACAGGGTAAAGGACTCTGAGCTCTGGCTAGGGTTAGGTGTTGCTGAAGTTTAGACAGATGTTTTTTACAAAAAATCCAAAAACCAGAACAACAACTCCCTCCTCCCAAAGCCCCCCACCCAAATCCCAAAGCTGCAGCCCACCAGTCATCTTAGAAATCTGCAAGATTCGCTAAGCAGTGAAGATCAAGAGCAAAACCGTTCCAGCATGCCTCCACAAAGAAGCATAAACCGTGAACAGCTTTGAGGCCTTTGCAGCCGGAGCTGGAAAGCAGTTGGTAAGAACGGCGCACGCTGCTTGAGCCCTGGCTTGGGAGCAGACCCGCCTGACAGCCTCAGGACGAGCTCGGGCATTCCTTTTCGCTCAGCGTACGAACTCCAGCTCTGCGCCTGGAGGATCTCTTCTTGTGTTGGCCACGGCCTTGTATCCTTCCACGACACCCACGCTACCCTGCCTTGATAGGATGCATGATAGCAGAGTGCCCTTGCCACGTAACATCTTACTGACTTCCGCGGCTATTTGGGCTGCAGTCCCTGATGACTCCCTTCATGACGGTGCCTTACCCAGGGGAAGGAGGTGACAAGTTTCAGCCAAGGAAGTAAAACAGAATGTACTCTGAGATACCCACAAGTACGCTGTACTTCTTCCGTAGCGGCCTGAGAAGCAAAAATGTGTACACCAAACACTTCATTTGCTCCGAATGCTGGCTAGGAAAAAGTGAATTCTTCTCGCTGTGTGTTCCTTGGCGCTGGCAGACTTGGCCTGGCAAAAAGTTCTTGCTAAGGTGACAACTTTGCTTTTAACAATGCTCAGTGTTTACACAGAGCTTTGCAAACATTTAATTAATCCTTGGAATTCTGCTGAAGTAACGATGAGATCGGTATCAGGGCTTTTTATAGAAGCAAAAGAGAGGTCAAACATAGGGCTGGTCAAAAATTTGATCTGCCCTCTCAAAATGGGGTGTTTTTTTATGTAACTAAATGAAAAATATCACATCTCCCTTATTTTCTGAAAAATTTAAGTTTTTTGCTTTTGACAAGCAAATGTTTTGCAGGTAAGATTGATTATTGTTCCTCTATGACGTTTTCTGCCAGAGGAATCTTATTTTTTTCCCCCCAACCCTGTTTACTTCAGCATTCAGTCCAGTCTTTAATGAGTTAACAACATGGGCGTATTGCTGCAGGTTTTGACTCTCGTGTACATCAAGCAAGACAGAAAAATGAGCACCTGTCAGATCATGCAGTAACGTATTCTAGCTGTTCTTTTAAATGTCCCTTCCCCACCCAAACTATTCTATGTTCTATGTTAAGCCCTCCGGTGCTTACATGATCCCTCCGTACAGTCTTGCAAGAAGAGCAGGTCAGGCCCTTCGGTAGTTCTTCCACTGCACACCTAACGCTAAGCTTTTCTGTAACATCCCATTTCCTAATTATAAGAGCCCAAGACCTAAGCGATCCTACAAGCCATAGGCTACACAGCGCAGCTCTTGTTGCCATTAGAGATATGGCACTGAAGTTTCATCTTACAAACAGGAGGCTGTCTCTCTTTCCAGACTAGGTGAAAAACTTCAGCTTCTAAATCTTCGACCAAACATCAATGATTTTAAGTTTCCAAAAGAAGGGGAAAAGCTTTGCAGATTTTTTTCTCCAGATCAGCTTCTTAATAGTGATGTACATACGTAACTCCCAATCTTCAGCTGTGAAAATGCTTTGTAGGTGACTGTTGCACCTCAGGGCAATTTTATTTGCTAATCCACAGCTGCCCCTGTGTGTAGTGCTCCAAAGCACTGTTTTCTACATAAAGTAAGGACTCCAGATGCTAGTCTGACAAGAGGCAATTTTCTCTGCAATTCACATAAATTTTTGTTTCTCCTTTTCTGCTTCCTAGAAACTAGTTTTGTAGTTCCCTGGTTCCCCAGTATGATGCATGGTTTTGGTGTTGCTGCATCTAAAACACAACAGCCTTGCTAGTATCTGAGGCTCAAACTTAGAACCCAGTGCCACACAGAATGTGACACTGGAGAACAAATACCATAAGGAAGGAGTATCCGATCCACAGACTGCGCCAGCCTTCAGGGCAGTGAGGAATAGAAGCTTCTTGGCTGTGGACAGCAATTGCCACAGCTGGGGCCTCACAAACTGAGCAGCGACTGATATACGGCCTAATGTCTTCTTCTGCCACGGGCATCATCGGAAGTGGTGCTGTAGTTGAGAGCCAGTAGGATTTATCATTTCGATTTGCATAATAACAAATATCCCCAGGGTTACAGTAGAGGAACGGCATAGTACTAAAACGAGCCAAACATGAACCGGCCAGCCCTGTAAAAAAAGAAAAAAAAAAAAAGAGAAATGATGGCAATCATTCTTACAGAAGACAATGCACGTTTTCAGTTTCCTGCTCCTTCCCAAGCACGTGTCAGTGAAACCCTGCTGTCCAGAATGTTTTGCTGGCTTTACAGAGCCCCTTGAACAACACTAATGACCTGCAGGAGCTCTCTCAGGAGCACTCTATGCAGACACACAACTTTTATCTTCTCATTTTGGTGTTTCCTAAGCCTGTTCGCTGAAGTCCCAGCTTTCTCTAAGTTCCATTTCTTTATTCTTTTTGTTCTTTTCAGCCAGAGAGATGGAATTGAGGCTGCTGCCAGCAACACCTGCACGTACCTAGATCCTGGTTGTGAGCTTTCTCTTGTCCTTCAAAGTACAGCAGGCTGTATCCACTCCAGAGTTTGTTCATGCCAACTGGGCACATCGGCTCTTGGTCGGACTGGCTGTGCTTCACCAGCAGGTAGCCCATGCTAACGCTGCGCCCCGGCATGCCTGGCAGCCCGGGGCTGCCGGGGCGGCCGGGCTGACCTGAGGAGAGCAGGGAAAAAGAAATAATGCAGCTTAGTCTGGGCTCCCACAAACGCTCTGATGCTACCTGGTATTTCAGCTAAGCTGCTGACGAACAAAGCTTAATTGCATGATGCCTCTTCTTACGGTAAATTACTGTTAAAAGAGCTGTAATTCTGGGATTATAGCAGTGGCTTTTGAAGTAGATTGGTGCTGGATCAGGCGCCCTGGTTTCAAAGATGATGTATTTCACTGTCAGAGCCAGGGAAAGTCACATAGAAAGTTGTGATGAATTTGAGCATACTTTGTACAATGCAGATGAGCACATTTTTCCTTCAAAACATTTTCTTAGTCCAAGATTAACCAATGGTTTTTGAATTGCTTGCAGTCGCTTCATATGCTTAAAACTATGCTCTGTAAATACCTTTTTCTCTATGTACTTAGGTAATTAAGATAGTAATCTGCTCTTTGATTGGTTAAGGACACAGGCATTTCATTTACAAATACGTTCGCTTAAACATCACGTGTCCAAGTATCACCTACCCAACCATTCATTTCCATGAATGTAACTGCTAGTAAAACACTAGGCTGAAATACTTCAGAGAAAATCAATATAAAAATACACTCAGATCAAACCAAACTCACTCACATGAGTTGACTGACATCTACATCAAAACTTACTCCAAAAATATTGCTTTAAGAGAACTCTGTTAAAAGTTAGTTAGTTGTCCCTTTTGAAGAAGCTGTGAAGACAGAAACTTTCTTTCTCCTCCCCCCCTCCCCACCCAGTGACCTAGTAACTGCAGAACGATTTATGGCAGTGAAACGGGGAGGGGGGAAGAAGTGCTGTGCGACATCTCTTACCTTCAAATCCCACTGGACCCTGAAACCCCGTTGCTCCTTGTTCACCTCTGGAGCCAGGAGGAGCTGGAATGCCACCCCTGCCCTGAAGTCCTGGATCTCCAGGTGAGCCTCTGAAACCTTGCACCAACAACAGTTATGAGCACAGTGACTGCAGAGATCTCAACATGCTACCCACTTTGTTAACATGTGCTCTGCTTGCCCATGTTTGGTCCTGTCTGCCAGGTTTACCAATTTACACTAAAGGCAAGATCCTATGGTTCTTGCTCAGGCAAAGAGCACCGACTTCATTGGAAAAGTTTGGTGGGATCAAGACTACATGAGCCCCACAACCTTAATCTTTCACTCTTGCTGCCACCACACGTCTCTGATCCGGCTAGTAGCAGGAGGTGCACTGCATCGGGGTCCGTGCATCACTAACACCACAGTCCCTGGGTTGAAAGCACCTCCACAAGGATGTGCTCATTTCCACCAAAGACATTCAGACGTGATTTAAGTGAGATCCATATCTGATGTTGCTTTGGCCATGGGAGTGTTGTCAAAGCTTTCTCCTGTTTTGCTTATGTTCTGAATGCTGAGAGGAGAAGAAAGCCAAGCCCTGGCTTTGCAAGACCAAACTTTGACTCCTTTCTGACTTACAGAATTTAAAGTAGAAGAGAGCCAAAGCAGTGCTCTGGTGGCTTCACTCTGCTAAGGGTAACTGAGCTTTCACTCTGAGTGTGCGATTCCTACCTGGATCGCCCGGTGGACCCTGAGCTCCCATATCTCCTGGGCTTCCTTGCGGTCCTATATTTCCACGGGGACCTGGTGAACCTTGCTCAGCAACCAGCCTCGGAGGAAGAGGGGGCAGCCCAGGAGAGCCTGGAGGGCCCTGAAAGCCTGTGATTGGAAGCAAGATGAGATAATTTGTTAAAAAAACCCAAACTCTCTACATTTTCCTTAATGTGCTTTCATCCACGGATATGTTGCTGGTACTTGGATGCATATGTGAGAGAAGCACTATGGTCTGCACACTATGGTCTGCACCTCACCGCCTTGGGTATAGAAGCTGTATTCCTTATACTGGGGAAATGCACTTGAGTACGGGGATTGTCTGCTCTTGGAGAGCACAAAGATAAGCAGAAGGAAATGAATGATGCTACTGCTCCCTCACTTGGGCCACGGGAAATTGGGAAGTTCCCCTCAAATAGCCAACGGCTCTCTGAGGTGCAGCATCATCTTTTGGTGGGCTTCTGGAGACACAAATACACAATGGCATAGATGGAATGAAGGAATTTAAATATATATTTCTAAGTATCCAGTATGTCTACCCTGCAGGAGTAGTTTAGATCAGGAATTCTTCTTTTTTTAAACCCCCAAAGGGGCTCTGATTTTGGAGTCGGCACCTCATACAAAATAAATTCATAAAGGCAAAAAATTGACTACCCATTTTAAATTCAGGCACCTGTCCACTGGAATTGGCCAGGGGCCACAGGGAGTCATGCAGGCTGGAAGGGACTCTGTGGGTCACAGAGCCCAACCTCCTGCTCAAAGCAGGGCCAGTTAGGTCAGGCTCTGAGGAGCAGCAAAGTAAGAAGTTTAGAAAGGAGTCACGTATCTGACTGCACTTACTCACCGGTTAGTCCTCTATCTCCCTTGGGTCCAATGGGTCCCAAATCACCTGGAAATCCTACGGTGCCCATAAAGCCGATGACACCTTGTTCACCCCTGCGACCTTTAATGCAAAATGACAGGTGGCATTACTGTATTTCGACACAGATCAAGGAAGTGCAAAAGCCAGGTTATTAAAGCTGCTGTAGTGTAGGAGGTTCCCCTGTCCTCAGCCAAGATCAGCAGTTCCCATCCTTACCTTTTGGTCCAGGGTACCCGGGAACGCCAGGTCTCCCAGCTGGTCCAGGATCACCTCTATCTCCTTTTGGGCCAATTTGTCCACTCACCCCTGTTTGTCCACTTTCTCCTTTGCTTCCTGGCGGAGCTGGTATGCCAGGCTGCCCCTGTAGTCCTGGATAGCCTGTTTAGAGCACACAGAGGTTGTAATCTGTTTATACTTAAGATCTGGGCACAGGGGAAAGTAACAGTACTATCTGATTGTATCCCATCAAGTTTTATTTCCTTAATTTAAGCGGGGAGCTAATGCTTAGGTCCCCAGTAGACTTGTTCAGCACTCCTGCTCCTGCTCTCAGGCTGGCATACCCTTCTGCTGCGGGGGCAGAGGAATTAGAGCATGAAGCTCCCACAAAGCACGGTGTCATCTCAAGGACGTTTTCAGCAGAAGTGGGGTGCCTGCTGAGATACACCCTGCAATGAGTTATTCCTTCCCCAGAAAATGCCCTGCTTCACTGGGTGCTTCCCTGCTTTATCCTAAATTCTCCAAGCAACTAGAGAGAAATCAGGCAGCAGCAAGTACTTGATTCAGTGCCAGGTGGTAAATAAGCCAAGGACTTACTGTTCCGTGTATCTTCGTGCTTCAGTTAAACATCTGGATACAAATAACTACTCCATGCTGTCATGGGAATTATGGGAACAGCTTCTTTTTCCAGAATGACATATTGCCTGAAGCTAAACCTGGCAGGTTTCTGTTCAGTTGCCTTTGCTGCCTAAGAAAATATTTGGACCTTCTTTCTGAGGAGAGAGGGACTTACTAACTGTGGTTCTGAGCAGGGCATCTCTCGTGCTGCCTGTTGAGGTTGGATCACGTGTGGATATAAACGCAAGACGCATGTGGCAAAGCAAGAGCGAGCCATGCCTGTCTCACCATTTTGGCTGGGAGATGGTGTTCCTGTTCCCACTCACCTGACTGCTTCTATTTTTATTTTTTAATCCAATGACTGCCTGGGGAGTGGGAATCCGTACACAGAGTTAGGCCAGCTAGCGTTCTCTTTCCATTTGGAAACAGGTGTTTTGTTGGTTTTCAGCTGGTTTGCCTGTTGCAAGTTTTTGCCATGTTTACATAAAAATTTCCATGCATCATATAAAGATGGTAGTGGGACACCTGCAACTTCCACTACAAGCTCTTCACAGTGGCACTACAATCTGAAAGGACTGTGCAGTCCAATAAGCCACAGGTGTATCAGCCTCTGAATACAGAGGGACGCAGAGTCGCTCTTTCGTATGTGTGAGAAGCAGGCTCATAGCATGGACGTTTAGAGAGAAGAGCTGATGCTTCTCAGTGTAACTTTGTTTGTGTGGTAATTGCACACAGGAAAATCTTGTGAATGATTAAGAAAACATTCCGTAGACTTGCAAGTCTGGCACAGACCTCAGATTTTACAGTCGTAAATTAGCATAATGCTTCTGAAAGTTGTTAAGAGAACTCTGGATGATTGAATCTGTTATTTGCATGAAAATCAAACCCTTCCATCAGGACAACCTGGAGGAACTGCCTTTTGCTTTCAAGAGGTCTGTCCCTATTACCTTATGTACCATCAGTTCTGTCCAACAATCATTCATGCACTTTAGTGTTGCATTTCATAGGGCTATTTTACTGAGTCAAGACAGAAATAACAATGACTGCTGTTGCTAACCCAGTACTTAATCTTCTGTTGTTGTCTGGGGGCACAACCTTGTGCTTACTCTTTTATTGCTGTCTGAGGGAAATGAGGCATGAATTACCTGGCACTCCGTCTAGACCTGGAGAGCCTTTATCACCAGGATATCCTGATATATTTGAAATCCCAGGAGGCCCTGGAAATCCTTCCTGCCCAGGAATGTTTTTAGGAATGCCAAAGGGTCCTTGAACTCCTGAAAGGAAAAGAAGAAATAGCCAGCACTGCAAGGAAAATGCACAATTGCAATTATAAGGACTCACCGCAGACTAGGTATAAAGACTGGGATTTTCAAAATGGAAATTTTGATTTTTGTTATATTTTTTCAGATGATGTTGTGGAAGTTTTTCTTAAAAGAACTAAATACTAGCTCTGTACCAAAGCTCTCTGGATAGCTAATTACATCTTACTGTGTGGAATGCTAATAATCCTGTGTCTGCCAGGTAAAATATTATTTCAAGATACGAAGTACTCAAAATATCCTTGGTATATTGAAGCAGACAAAAAAGCAACTTTGTTCTAATGTGTCCTGCGGAGTCAGTGGCCAGATACTTAGGGGTTTTTGGGGTCAGTTAAAACTGAAAGTTTGAATCCGAGAAGTTCTCTATAGATGAAAAGTGTTAAATGGCCAAAAATCTGGCCCACTAATGACAGATTATGCTTTTAAGTAGATTCAAGTAGTCAGCAAGCCACAAAACCCCTTCTGTTATTAATTAAAAAAAACCCTAATAATGTTTAATTCTGACAAGCCAACATGAATAAGTGAAGTAGCTGTATCTTCCAGGGCTTGATAATAAATGTCTGAATGGTGTTTGAGGTGGCACAGCACATTAGTAACAACAAAGCGTAGCACAAAAGAATAGGAATGAGCCATTGAACCAAGTAGGCAAAGGCAGTAAGGTTGTATATATATGACAGTCCTTCATCCTTTTAAAGCCAAAATGTTGGAAAACTTTAAAAAAAGGCCCCGTAATTAGTTGATTCATCCATAACATCAGTCTGGAGGCTCCCTGACAGAAGAACAAGCGGCAGTGAACCATACCAAGATACTTGCAGCCCGCTACAACAAGGTGGGTTTGAGGCGGAAGGCTGTACGCTTACAGTGCACGAGGGGTGACGGCACGAGGAAAGCACTGTGCATGGCAGTAGAGCTCAGGGGGGGCCAGAGGGACAATCACACATCGATGGACAGTGAGGCTTTCAGAAGAAAGGTAAACATTGATGGGTTTGCAACAAAAAGAAAGAAAGAAAAGCCATAGCATTTGTTGAACTGGAGACTCATTAGAAATATTTCAGGAGCTGATGGCGGAGAGTAGCCTCTGGCATTTGTAGCATGCTGAGGTCAGTGGGTGCTACAAGATGCTGTTACCATGGGGAAGGACCCAGGCTGCCCTGGAGGGGCGGCTTGTCCAGCATTGGGCGACACACACGTCTGTTTTGGAGCAAGGGCTGGCCAAGCAGCAGCACTAACTCCAAACAGCGACCTTCCCCACATCGGGAGCTCTCCTGTACAGCTGTCTACACTACACCACATTTTGTGACATCTGCAACACTCACAGATGAAACAAATAATATGTAGATCCCATTCTCCGGAACACAAACCTGGAACACCCCTGTCTCCCTTCTGACCCGGAGGTCCTCGGCTGCCTTCCACTCTGCTTGGCTCTCCCGCTTCCCCTTTGTCGCCTACCACACCTGGGAACCCTGCAGAGCCGTAGCCATCTGGACCTGTTGGGGAGTTGTTAAAAATTAAGACAAAAGTTGAAATGCTTCCGCAGGTAGTAACATGATTCTATGATTCTATGTAATAACGTATCAGCATGCTAACGTACGTGTATAGAGCATGTGGATTTACTAAACACATGAATCTGTAATGGCTCATTGAAAAAATGGCTCATAATGGGGAAGAAAGGCCTTGAGGCTTTAACTTTTATTATAAGAGGAATGAAATTACGATTTGAAGTTGTGTTCTAATCCAGCTGCGTGGCAGCACATTGTGTATGAAGCTCTTTGCCAGAGCCCACAATAATGAGGCAAATTCCACATTGGGTTTTGGATGACACAGTGAAGAAAGTCACATTGCAGAGGTCTCACGGATCAGACTTGCAGCCAACACAATATAGTGCCTGTGATGAGGCAGAGTAGGAGCCTCACTTACCTGGTGATCCTGGTAAACCCTTAGTGCCCGGTAAACCATGCAGTCCACCGATTCCTCTTGAGCCAGGCAAGCCTGTTTTAAAATTACACTCATTATTATCTTAATAGTTTCTGTGAGTCTGTATATATTCCTAGGCAAAAAATTAAAATGCTTAAGTAAATACCACTGTGTTAAAATCTTGTGTATTATATGCAAATTCATTCATGACAAAAAGCTTATTATGAAATACACCATGCCATGGTTTTGTGATTGGCAAATTTTTTATTATTCAATAAACTCACTATGAGATTTTTTTTTAAATATCTCTGATCCGTCTGGTAGCATGCCATTAGTTCCAGTCTTGCTACCACAGTTTTGTTAATAACCATCTATAGTTTTCCAAAATCCTCAAACCAAAACAATTATGGTATAATTGTACACTCTAAATGTGATTATAATGAAGCTCTCTTCAGGAGAAATTAACAATTAACTCTGTATCATTAAAAAACCCAAACAAAACCCTAACAAAATGTCTAATAGCTGCTGCTGCTGTTACAGGCAAAATTGATCCCATCTGTTTGTATCTGTCAAAGTGTTAAGCATGATGTTAACACAAGACAGGTATCTCTAAGGAGATCTCTGGATCTAAGGGATCTCTGGAGGACAATTAAACCTTCACAAAAATAAGTGTCTATCTATTCACTGTCTATAAAGGCAGCCTTCATAACTGCATTAGCTTAGATTCGATGCAGATTCAGATAGATGAATCTTACTAGAAGCATGGCAATTTCTGGTTGTACTGTAGAAAAAAATCCGCTTACTTAATATATTAAGGAACTAGGTGGCAACCAATGAGATGCTGTATCCTGTGATACAACCGGCTTCATTTTAAACTATCAATCAATCACCTGTATTTTGATAGCGGAATTCTGTCTGAGCCATAAGTCATTTATCCTTAAAACCAGACGTTGGATCAGTTCGCAGTTTTTGATGATGACATGGGACAAGTATATTGTTTGCTATCTAATGCCACATTTTAAAGATTTTTTCTCCCCAGCTGTCATGAAAAATGAAAATGTTTCCTGAAAACTGCTTTCCCGGGTGAGAGGGAGGTCATCAGCAACTAAAGTGAGCTCAGCAGACACCAGTCCTTCAGAATCCATAAATCAGAAAGCAACCACATTGGTCTTCATTAATGTACCTGAACTTTATGAGGAATGCATGTCTACTAGAGGGAACTCTGCCAGTCTGGACTGCAAAAAGCCCCCTTTCTTCTTCTTCAGCCCAAAGGAACAATAGCAAGCACTGACACTGAAATGACAGAATAGTTGAAGCTGTAGGAATACCTGGTTGTCCTGGTATGCCAGGCCAGCCGGGAGTTCCCTTTTCACCTTGAAATCCAGACGTCCCGGGGCTTCCTTGCTGCCCTGGGGGGCCAACCAGCCCCGGAAAACCTACGGGACAATGATGAATCATGGCTCATGAGTGTCCTGAAAACTGATAGCCCGAAGTACCAACTTGTGCTACTTTCATTCACCAAGGTAGCAAAATGAAGGCTTTCCCCGCCCCGCTGATGTCATTGTATGACACTGAACTGCTCACCCAGGTGGAAGAAAACTAAAGGGAGAAAAGGTAGGAAAGGCAAGGTGTAACAGAACAATTAATTACAAACTTCGCGTTTCTGACAACCTCAACTATAGTGCACTCCTCCTATTAAAATGATAATTTTACTCTATTGCCAGTTACAATAAGTAATATCATTCATGTGCACCTCAGTTTCCCTTTCTGCAGCATCTGGAGATGGAATCTTGTCCTGGGTTCAGCTGGGATAGAGTTAATTTTCACAAGAAGCTGGCTGGGCTGACCCAAACAGCCAGCCAAATGGGATATTCTATACCATGTGCTGTCATGCTCAGTATTTAAGCGGGGAGCTGGCTGAAGGAGGGGAATTTGCTACTCAGGAGCAAGCTGAGCCTCGGGTGGTGAGAACACTGCATGTTGTATATGCTTTTTATCAGTATTGTTGGTTGTTGTTTTCTTCTCCCTTTGCCATTCTGTTAAACTGTTCTCATCCCAGTCCATGAGTTTTGCCTTTTTCCTTCTGCGTCTCCTCCCCATCCCACTGGGGAGGGGTGAGGAGTGAGAGAGTAACTGTGTGGTTCTTTGTTGCAAATTGAGACAAAACCGCAACAAATCTCCATCTGGATCTGCCAACTGGAAAGGTGATCAGACAAGGACTGTCTCCCAGTGAGGCACCTACCAAAACTGCTCCAGTCTTGGCTGGAGTTTCTAAGCCCTATAAGCATAGGAGAAATGTTCTGAAAGAGCATTTTCATGATCGTCCTGCAATAAGACGTGTTCTTAAGCCCCAATTTTATGATCCAGCCAGAGCCCACCCTGACTTTGGTTCCCCAATACTCTTGTACAGTCGGCCAACAAGGCTGGCTCAAAGTCTCCGTAACTGGGTCCTGGAGGATATTGACTTCATTTATGGCAGAAAAGAGCACTGAAAAGTCCACCTCCTTGTAGTATTGAGACAGCATTCGAATACCTGACTATGCCAGCAATAGAACACTTTGACTGGATACAAGATCGCTATAAAAAAGGAAAAACTGGTGTGAAGCAGAGTTTGGCTTTTGAAATTTCCTCTCAGTAAGTTCTGCCATGCGTTTCACATCCTTTTCACTGCACTTTACCAACTGACAGATTGATCAACATATTAAAAAATGTAATGACTTTCTTTTGAGAGAAAAGAGGTTTTGTCTTTCTCTTCTTAAGCAGTTTTATTCTTTGGAGCATTAAAAAAAAATAATATTTTACCTTCCTGTCCCACAGAGCCAGGGACACCCTGTGTGCCCTTGAGGCCTTCAATGCCAGGGAAACCAGGATCACCGCCTTCGCCCTTTTGTCCTGTGCCTCCTCTTGCTCCTGGAAAACCACAAAACCAGTATATTCTATTAATAATCTCTATACACCCCTAAGCTAACAAGCATAATGTGAAGTGGGCTACCGAATGGGTCCTAGTCTTGCCACATAAAGACATTCTTCTAGTCATGGTGCTTGCATAACCTGGGAGAATGAAATTGTCTACAGCACACCGGCCAAACCATCATTAAATTTGTTTTTAAAAGTATTCGCTAAATTATGTGGAATATGACACCAATGTTCAAGTGTGCTGCATGTGCAAGGATAGCTCCAACGGTAATACATTACTTAACCAACCCAATCCAAAATCGACCTGACTCAGCTGCTATCCCATCTTCCACAATTATGGCCTGATATTGCTCCTTTTGTCATCAATGGCAAAAAATTACATGGAAATGTTTTACTGGAGTTGCATGTGCCATAACTACTTTCAATTGGAGAGGTAAACATAGCACATACGTAAAGAAAATATAAACCTCTTCAGGAGTTGTCACGAGAGCACAGGTTCAACAGCCGTCAAAAGCCCATGGTAAGCTCCCCCTCCTTTCCTCTGTGGACTTTAGTATGTGAAAAGTAATACATCGAGAGCAACTGTGAAATTAATACCTGTTAAGCCTGGCACACCAACTTCCCCTTTAAGGCCTGGCATTTTTTTTTTCTCTCCTGTTTCAAGTGAAAATGAACACATGAGGGATAAGGCTTAAAATTAAACAGTTTTTCCTGTTGTTTTGAATGAGTTGTAACTTCCGAGGCAAAATTCAGTAATTATTATCTTTCTAGAAAAAAAGACGATCAAGTTAAAGAAAGAAAAACATAAAGTCTCTAGAACAGCTGCCCTCCCTGCCATGGATGTATTAATCCATGGACAGTACATGTTGCATGAAAGTAACAGTATTAACCTGTTCATAGCCTCCTACATCTACAGTATCATTCTCTAAAACTGTACGAAGACTCTTTTAAGACTGGAGACCCCCTAAGACTCTTCAGAACTCAACGTTGAAAATTTGATCTAGTGAATACAAAGAGCATTCAAATAAGTGAACAAACTCACCTATTTCACCATACGAGCCAGGAGTACCAAAATGGCCTGAAATTCCTGGAACACCCTTTTCTCCCTGTCATGTGGTTGAAAACAGGTATCCGTTAACGAGGATGAGAATTTATTCAACTCTCCAAGCAGCACAGTTTGGAAATACTGAAAAAAAGGCTATTAAATTCACCATTTTTGAGTTTCCATAGTACTTTATAGAGTCATTTGGCTGAAATCAGTCAAACCAAACCAGTACAAACCAAGGGACAAGTTATGTTTGCAAAGACTTCAGTTTGAAATTAAGAACATCCAATTACACGTATATGGTAGTGAGTCCTGCAGTCCTTTGTTAGGAAAAAGTCCGATTGAAATCCAAGGGCAAAGCTACCTGAGAAAGGAACACTGTTTCTGGCTTTCTTAAATAAATGATGTCTGTGAGTTTACTGTCAGGCCTTTTGTAAGACTTCATTTTTTCCAGTGTAACTTATTTTACAGCCAAAGTGAATCACGGTGAATTACCCTCTGGGAACTGAGATTCTTAGACCCTTTTACAGTTAGATGAGTGACGGTGAGTAATTTTTGGCAGTCCTGGGAGAAAGGGAAGAGCAAGCCCAGCACTGAAAACAATTTTTACTAACAGCTATGGCAATGGGACCAAGGACCTAGAAGGAACTGTCTGGGTTCTCATTGCAAAAAGCTGGCACATGAAAGCTAGATGTCTCCCAATGAGAAAAGAAAGGACTCTGCTAATGAATGTTGGAGGGATCAAGCAAAACTATTTGATCCATTTCAATTTTTATTGCATTTTTATCTTGGCACTTGTAGGGGTGAACACTACTCCCTAGGGAAGCTGAATGCCAGCGCAAGAACTCCCATATTCCCTCACGAGCATGAACTCACCCTGCCTCCTGTGCTGCCAGGGAAGCCTCTGATGCCAGGAGAGCCGGCTGGACCAGGATACCCCTTCAGACCTGTCAGTCCTTTTGCACCGATGTCTCCTTTTGCACCGGCCCAAGCGGGGAAGAAGAAAAATAAAGACAACTTAAGCTATTGCAGCTGGGAAGGCTGACACGCAGTTGCTTGTGTGTGAGAAGTTTTCCTGCCAGGGGACTTCTCGAAACGTGGCACCATGATGCGCTCATACAAAAAGGCAGCATACACACGCGACACAACCCCACAAAGCTTTCCACGGGACTGGCTCTGAGAAACGCAGCGGGAGCTCTGCTTTTGCTGTCAGAGACGTTGCTGGGAGGGCTGCAGCACAGTGGTACGATGAGCGGGGAATATTTAATATGGTAACCGAGAAAAGACAGTGATCGATAGTCCTGAATGTGCTTGCATTGTTTTGCTGTGACCACTGACCTTTTAAGCCAAAGAACCCCTTCGTGCCCCTTTCTCCAGCATCTCCTTTTTCACCTTTAACTTCCATCATCATGCTGGGCTTGAGCTTTGGGGGTTCTCCTGGGGGCCCTTGATCCCCACGGTCACCTAAAGGGTAAAAAAACCCAACCATGTCACAAAAAGCTGGTCAGCAGCACCGTGTTGGGAAAAGAGAACAGAAGGGTGAATTTAGCAACAAGGGGTTAATACATAATCTTGCACAAACCATGGAAAATCCACTTGCATAAAAAGTTACCTGTGTCAGTACGACCTGTCAGCAGAACAGTCAAGCATAAGAACACATGAAAACTGAGTTAAACTTTTGGACATACAGTCCTGGGGAGCTGGACCTAGACTCCTCCGTGATGGATAATTTACCTCTCAGCAGAGCAGTTAGGTATCATGTGTTTATAAAAAACCAGAAAGCACACTGGAGAAAGCACAGAAAAGTAGGTTAGTTCCAGCAAAAGGGAAATTCTCAGTCAAAAAGCCTTGGGCAAAAGAACGTGTTTGGCTTTGTTACCAGTTATTTTATTCCTTTTCTTGATTTGAAGGTTACTGGTGACAGCAGTAAATAATATCCTGAAGAAAGGACCCAAATAGACTGTACGACAGTCTTTAGTTCTTTGTGGGATGCAGAGACAGGCCAGCCACCCAAACTTGTCTCCTATAATCATGCACTGTCTTATATTTCATCAAGAAGTATATCTGCACTTTTCTTTGCAGGAGCTGTTTTCACAACTGCCTTTTGCTCAGACCTCTCCTGAATTCCTGGGAGCACTGTTTTGCAACCTTTGAACTGCAGACCGGTTTTTCTTAAGTACCTATCTCAGGGTCCCTAGAAAGAACATCTTGGCCTTGTGGTAAAGCGTGTATTTAAAGATAATTGTATGCAAAGAAAAGAGGACTGAGTTACACTTTTCATTTCACTGATGATGATATCAACTGATACGTTTCTGACTTTTAACTTCTTAATTGCCTGGTTTTCTGAATATTTCTGTGCCTTTACAGTGCAACTGGAGAAAAATCTGAATCTTTTCCCCCAAACGCCTTACGCTTCCTGGGAAAAGGCTCTGTTGAGTTCCGCACGTGGCCAGAGGCGCCACTGTCTGAGCTCAGCTGAATAACGAGATGTCTGTCTCCAGCCTTAAATGTGTAAAGATTCACAAAGAAGTAACCTTTCCCTGAGCCTAAAATCCAGGCCTTTCAGCCAGAGGCCCATGTGTGAAATAGGTGGAGGAATGTCTGAGCTAAATTTACCATGTGAAAAATGTGTCGTCTTTCTCGTTGTGTCCTTGTAAAATAGTTCTCCAGATGTGAAAAGCATACACACTTTGTAAGTGTGTACACTGTAAGCAAATACCTTTAAAGCCACGTGCGCCCTGTGAGCCTTTATCGCCCTGAGCGCCCAATGAGCCAAATTCTCCTTTGATTCCCTTGATGCCTGGTCTTCCTTTTAGGCCTGTCATGCCTTTGAAACCATCAATTCCAGGTGAACCTCTTGAGCCTTTAAAGAAAGACGGAGAAGAGAACCGTTATGTCACTCAGATTTCTGCGAACTAAGTCAATGTGAACCAGCAATGCATGACTAAAACGGTGTGAAAACTTCAGTGCAGCAGGACCTGTTTTTGGGTTCCTTGATGGCAATCTGCAGCTCTAGATCAGGTACCCAAGCTCTCCGAGAGGTGAAGAAGAGCAGGGGTACACTGTACTGCTTCAGCTGGCCAAGAGGAGATGTGGAGATGACCAGAACTTAGTGTCTTCTTCTGAAAGATCAGTTCAATCCCTCTCCTACAGATAAACTAGACAAAGGTACCTAGTTCCATGCAAGGTGTTTAGTCAGCCTGTTCTTCTACATGTCGATATACGAATCACGGGTCTAGGACTGGCTGGCCCTTTCTCACCAAACATTCCCATACTCCTCTTTTCTAAACAAGAGGATGGTGTTTTACACAGGTCATGCTAACAAATAGATCTTAATTCCCCTCAAATGAGAGCTGATCAGTATTTCACAGTTGTCCTAGGAAAAAAGTCATATCTTTCCCACTGATGAAATTGCAACAGGCATTTTTAGGCATGCGCCTCATTTTTGTGTTTAGCTTGGCTTCACACAGAGTTGAATCCTGTTGAAACTCCCTGTGTGTTGTAGACAACTTGCATTACACATAGTGTTTTTGTGGCTGGCAAGTGAGAATCTCACCTTCTCTATACGTAAGGTTAGTACCCGGGTAAAGTGAACATCCAGATCTTGTGCCTGGCATTGCTCAGTACACAACTGCCAGCTTTGAAAAGCTTTAAAGCAAAGGTCTGAGGAAACATCTCTTTAATTTCACAGAGAGCCAGTGGGACTGGGATAAGGGAAAGACTTTTGGAGACAGAAAAGAGTAAATACTGTACATTTTTTAAAAGAAGAACTAAAACAGCCACTGTCCTTCTAAATAGGGCTGCACGTCACAAGATAGCATTTTGCCAAGCACAACTCAGGAGAAAACACTGATTTGTGATTTTGGACTATATTAGGCATATGACCCTAATTCTTCTGTTTTAAATGGAGGTAACCCAGCGGAGAATGTGTCCTGTTCATCTCAGCACAGAAGAGCTTTAAGCAACATCACTTTTTTCAAAGCAGCTGTCCAGAGCTCACCTTTGTCTCCTGGAAAGCCATCCATTCCGCTTATGCCAGGGGGACCAGTCACGCCAGGTATACCTTGTAATCCCGGGTAACCTGCATCACCTTTGTCACCAGACAGACCTTTCAGGCCCACAGGACCAGGAAAACCTTGTTCACCATCTTCTCCCCTAGCACCAGGTGGACCTGCCGTGTGAACATGAAACAGGGAGATTAAAAAGTGTTTGGACATACATGATGATTTCATCCAAGGTAGCTCAAGAGGGAGAAAACTGCTGTTCTACCATCTTCATGCTGAGGGGGAAGGAAAATTAGGATTTTTTTCAGCAAAGAACTGCAGAAATTACATAAAGACAAAGCAGCTCATCAGTGCAAACCGGTCTTGCTACCAGCTTGGTTCTGCACCCACTCCCAACAGGACCTTCCCCTCCCCTTTAAATTCAGAATTAAGACCCTTTGCCATAAGACTACTCCCACTTAGTAGCTCCCTTCTCCCAGTCTGCCACCAGCAAGCTCTGACCTGGCTTGGTAGGTGGCTATAGCAGAAAAAGCAGCAGCTCTGCCAGTGAGGACCATCATCCCCCCTACTTCCCACCTGTGATACCAGTACAATTTGCAATCATAGTATCTGCACTATTAGTGTCATTTCCCTGGCTGAGAACTAAAGCGTGGCATATGCCACAACCCCAGGCATAACTTTCTGCTGTGGAAATCATACAGTTGCCCTGCCACAGAGAGCTGGCAGAAGACGTGACACAGGACAGCAATACTTCCTCACCAACAGGTCCTTGAGAGCCAGGCCCGCCATCTGGCCCAGGGTTTCCTGGTGGCCCTGGGAATCCACGCGTTCCTGGTGTTCCTGGCAATCCCATCAAACCAGGGAGACCTTGAGGCCCTGGATCTCCTTTGGGTCCTGGCAAACCTGGGTTACCATCCGCTCCTAAAATACCATAATCATGTGTTAAAGAGCATAAATATCTAGCGAGCTGATTACTGCATATCACTTCTGTGTATGTACTAGTCTTTCAGGGTATGTTTTTCCTCTGAAAATTCAGTGAGAACAGGAAAAGGAAATTAAAAGACTGCTCATTAGTTTTAAAATAATTGACATTACCAGGACTGATCTCAATATTTGCAGTGGAAAGGTTGACTGGCTCTTTCAAACAAATGGTAACATTTTGACACCAGGTAGATATAGATGGAGCAGATCTCTTCCACTTTTAACCCCAATAATTCTGTAATTCCTGATCTCTCTCTTTATCACATACATCTTTGTAAGAATCGAATCAAACAGCTGACTGAAGCACTGAACTAATACTCTATAAGTTTTCTAATATGTGATAGGCAGGAATAGGAACATTTAAGGCAGACAGTGGGTTCTGGGTTTGTGTGATTGTTCAGAAATTTTCAAGTAAGGTTGTTACAAGGCATTGTTATAAGACTCATACATGTTTCTAAGCAAAAAGGCCCTGAATCTACATAACTAAGTGCACGGGGTGAAAATTTACATCTCTACAATATAAGAGCAAAGAGGGTGTCAAAATTTAAAAGGTAATGCCTGCTTTGCATTCATATTAGAGAAGCAGCATGACACAAGACCTCAGAAGGACATGGCACTTAAAATTGAGGCCAAGTGGCCCTGCTTCTCTTTATTCAGGTTTTACACCAGCATAGGTCCATTGGCTTGACTGTAGTTGTGTGCTTTATAGCTGAGATCACATAAGGTGAGTTTTTGCACCAACAGAATACCGGCTTTAGCTCTCTGTTCTGAGGGGCTAGTAGTTTAAGTGGCACAGATGATATAAAGGAATCACTAGCCACTTCATATAAAACTAAAAAAAAAAAATAAGCCTCATACAAAAATTTACTTTTTTTTTTTGAGCCATTCTGTTAGAACTGTGAAATAAATCAAGAACAGACAAACTAGTAATACTTTTTCCTTTCATTGTACTCATTTTTTGTTGTTACTAAAAACTTTGTTCTACAGAAATGCTTGGAAAGAAGGTACAAAGTCATGCAATTCTTTTTTTTTTCCTTTTCAATCCATGTTTTACCTTGAATTTCTTCCCCTTTTCAGAGATGTTAGTGATGTTTTCTGCCTTTTATCAAACTTGCCAAGTGCCACAGAGCTGCCTTCATCCCTTTCCTTCACTCTGGGGCTCTACTGAAGGTGAAACCAGCTCTCCTCACTTCAAATAACTCATGTAAGATGATGCTTTTCTTTTCTTTCTTTTTTTTTCATTTGTGTTGAAAATCATGAGAAGAGTCTCCAAAATAGGTTCCTGTGATATACCTCCTTGCTTTGAGCTAGTCATGCAGTTACTACTCCTTTCTCACTTCCACAACAGTACTCCTAAATTTAGTTATGTGTTCAAATGCTACTGAAACTGTAGCACGGGATGCTTAATTCCCACCTGCTTTTGAAAGTCCTCCACAGAATTCAGAGTGCCAAAGTCAGATTTTGAATGGAAACTATGGTTTTCTCTGTTTTCTGTAGGCACATTTTTTAAGCTCTGTCAAATGATGGAATAAAATGAACACCCTAAAGTTATGAATAAGTATATAATGTTATCTTTTTCTTGTTCCTGAGTGCCCAGAGACTGACCAGGTAAAAATGGCTTATTAACATTTCCTAAACACTAAGCCCTCTTCGTTAAAATCTACAAATTCTGCACTAGTGCAATGTGCTCGTGGGTCGATGGCCTTGCTGGACTTCTTGATACCAGAGGGGGACTTGCTCGGACTCGTGTGTCAAGCACAGCAGTTCCACAACTTGAATAAGGAGCTTCGCTTATCTTGTCAGACAGAAGTAATGGGTGATGGCCTAACACTATCAACTGTGCGACATCTAGGGTGCAGACAGCCAGGTGTTGCTTCAGTTAAAAAACAGAAGGCCCTCCCCTGTAAGCACTACGAAGCTCCCCGCTGAACCACTGAGTCCCGCTTCTGATGACACAACACGCTATGCTAAGAGCCAGCTGACACACAGTAATTGACTCAGTCCCACCTCACCAAGATCTGCAAAAGATTTTGCAAAAGTATGAAAACTGGCACTTGAAGACGCTCTTTTGGAGGAGGAGTCAAATGAAAACCTTACCTAATGGACAGGTCATCGGGCCTAAAACTCTTTTGGCCCCCAAGAAGGGATGCCTTTTGGGTAAGAGTCACACTTCTGACTTTGTCGGACGTACTTCCGAGAAAATGTTATTAACTAAAATGCTGAACTATTAAGTTGAGCTCAATTTTTGTAGATAGTGCATTTATCAATGGCGACCCCAAATCTGTGATACCCGTTGCTTGAATAAATTACCTATCATTTCAACTTTGCAAAACTGTCTCAGTGAATGTCCCTGGGAGGGCTCTGACAGGCAAACGTTGACTCTGGTAAGTAGCTACATACTTCATCCTTTAGACATAAACTGTTGACCAAGTCTGGGACCAGGCGTGGATTCAGCCACACCTAGGCTCCGCTCTCTGAAAAGGAGTTTAGAGAGCAAGGGGGCCCACTCTGAACCTCATGGCTCAACGGGAGGGCTTTCCCCCCCTTGCCGCTTACCAGACTTCTTGAAGCCCTTTAACCCTTTAATGTGACAGTGCTGTGCTGCAAAGCCATGTACTATCCAGACATCTTCTGGTGTGGGAAACAATCTCAGTATTATGCAGCATGTAAGTGAAAACCACATCACCATTCCCTTAACTAGAGTGGCAAAAATTAACAGTACACCTGAACACAACAAAGATGAGCAAAACCGTGTTCTCTGATATCCGATTGTAGCTGATTTCACGTAGTGCGATGTGAAGGAGTGCTGGTCATAAGCAACGGATCTCCAGAAGGTGTTTGGAGGAGCCAGGCATATTGGTAACGGTTGAGGTAGATGGGGAAGGGATGGGAGACCAGCAGGCACTGGGATTTGATGCTGGGGTCATCAGTACCTCCAAAGTGTCCTAACATGGTCTCTTACTACTCTCACTTGTCTATAATTTGGCTACATTTATATCACATTCCTACTCAGTCATTTCTTTATTTGAAGTAGTTGTTACCTCTAATTCCAGGTACTCCTTGATCTCCTGGCATGCCTTTCAACCCTGGGAAGCCAGGGAGCCCAACATCCCCTCGAGAACCTGCTGCTGCTCCTAAAACTTCACCAGGAAAGCCCTTCAGTCCTGCTGCTCCCGGAGCACCGGATTTTCCTGTCAGGCCTGGGTGTCCCTGCAGTCCAGGTAGACCATTCGGGCCCCTGTCTCCCCTGGGCCCAGTAAAACCTATAAATAGAACAGGAATTAGGCATTGCAGGGTTCACTACAAATGTTGGAGTTCAAACCCTCGATACAACATAATAACACCTTTTATAGTATCGTAATTTCCCCCTGTTCTCAGCAGAAACCTGTAGAATCAAAACAAATTGTTATATAAATGGTTTTAAATCACATAGCATTTATAGCAACATTTGACCAAATGTGGAAATCGGCAGAACTTACAGGTGACCCCTCAGGATACCTAGTGCCTGGGTGATAAAAGATCCACAGCTCCAAGCAGTTACTTCTGTGCAACTGTTCTGACATGGCTATTGCAGCATTTTATAAACATCTTATTCTGTAAGGGCAAAAATCCAGTCCCTGTACACAAAAACCTGGTTTGATACGCAGCGGGGGTAAGACATTAAAGGGAGTCAAATCTGAAAAAATAAATGAGGAGCGAATGCATACTGGTAAACTGGGAAGACCTGGGGGAGTTGCCCAGATGGGTCATTGCTGTTGCTGTTCCCCACACATCTCAAGGGCCCAATGCCAGTCCCTTCATGCTCTTGATGAAGGAGTGTCACCGTCCCTGTCCCCTGCGCTGTACGTGAATAACTGGGAGGGCACAAGCCTCTGTTACCACAAATGACAGGGGAAAGGCTTCTTGTGGACTGGGAAAACTGGACATGGACTGGAAGTTAAGTCCAAGCACTGGTGAAAGACAGTATGGAAGACTTAAAAAATCGGTCTGAGCGCCGACTGGCCTGGAAGCCATATGGTATGGGAGCCTTAATTTAGCATTTTGAGCACTCTGGAGAGCTTAGCAAGGGAAACAGAGGTTTATGGTCCTGCCCTACGCTGCACAGAGCCATGTTTCATGATGCATCCCTTGCCTGTTGACCAGGACATGCACCAACTCTTCTTTTGCTTTCTCTTTTGCTACTACAGATGCTGTAGGTGAGCCTAGAGGATGCTTCCAGGTCGTGTGCTGCCTTAGGGTGAGGCAGCACTTGGGTGCTGGGTACGGGAAAGTTTGCAGCACTTTGGTATCTCTGAGGATTTAGGAATTGGAAAAGAGATAGATGGAGAGAATTTCTAAAGAACTCCTAAATTAAGTTGCATCAATGGCTTCTGAATTGCGCCTGTTCCTCTGACCAATTTCAACCACAGGGAAGTGGTAGTTTCTGGCAGTAACTCTTGCTGGACCAAGTGATTTAATTTAAAGTGATGATCTGTCAGTATACCCACTGCAGCTTGTATATGTATGCAGTGGCACTATTTTTGGCTCATCTGACTTACAATCTATGAATAGATCAACTATACACACAATTAATTGATGTGTCTTGGCCATCCTGGAACCTCTGGAGAGACAGATACGGAAGCCCTGGAATGTAAGCTGTACCTATTACTGACTAGCATAAAAGATGACAGGCAAACACTGTTTGGAAACACAGCTGCCTATGAGCAAGCTGAGTAGCTAGTATATCTGCCTTTGATACTCCAGTACAATTTCTACTAACGCTGGAAAGAGTTAAATAGAAATACTAATACTAGTATTTTCTTCCTTTCTGTGTCATCATTCTGAGTATATTCCATTTGGAATCTGAAATCTCTTGTTATTGATTTTTTTTTTTCCCGTGTGAACTGGCATGTACCAGGAATAGTGTGGCCAGCAGGAGGAGGGAGGTGATCGTGCCCCTGTACTCGGCACTGGTGAGGCTGCACCTGGAGTGCTGTGTTCAGTTTTGGGCCCCTCACTACAAGAAGGACATTGAGGTGCTGGAGTGTGTCCAGAGAAGGGCACCGAGGCTGGTGAGGGGTCTGGAGAACAAGCCTTATGAAGAACAGCTGAGGGAGCTAGGGCTGTTTAGTCTGGAGAAAAGGAGGCTGAGGGGAGATCTTATCTCTCTCTACAACTGCCTGAAAGGAGGTTGTAGTGAGGCAGGTGTTGGTCTCTTCTCCCAGGTAACTAGCGATACGACGAGAGGCAATGGCCTCAAGTTGTGTCAGGGGAGGTTTAGATTGGATATTAGGAAAAATTTCTTTACTGAAAGAGCAGTCAGGCATTGGTCTTTTCCAACCCATGATTCTATGATTCTATGATTTATAATTCTGCATTATAAAGCAGATTTTAAAAGGTTGGCATCTATGCTACTTTTCATCATTACAGAAGTTGCGGGAAATCCTTTTGGATTTAAAAAGTAGCGTTTTTGTGTTGTTTGAACGTGGAAGGGAATATCAGTGAAAATGCATCTGGAATCAATTTTTGCGTTTCAGTGATGGTAGTAAAGAGGTCAAAAGTATATAAAGAATGACAAATTATTTCAAGATACCTGGAGGACCTGGGATTCCTTCCCAACCTGGATCACCTCGTGTGCCATTTAGCCCTGGGTATCCCACTGGACCTGGATCACCTGGGAATCCTCTTGCACCTTTTGCACCTAAATTGTATAAAAGAAAGTAAGAAAGTGTGATCTGAACAAACAAACCAGAAATGTGCATATCATGTAAGAAAAGGTAGTGGTAAATATCATCATGATGTGTTTCTGGATGCAAAGATGAAACCTTTTTTAAATTTAATGGGACTGTACTGTAGCTCTTTAGCAGTATTCGACATCCCAAGACATGGATCGAAAGTCTAGGCTAAGCGCTCTTCCAAACATAGATCAACCTGACTTAAAGACTAATGTTATGGAGACTCCTAGGGTGAAAATAACTAGTATCGCAGCCTTTTAGAGACTTTTAATATTTTGTAAATTAAGGCTTTTAGCTTAAGGTCAAAAGACAGTGTCAAAGAGAGATGCTCAACAGAAATAGGCACAGATGAGATGCTGTAGGAGGAACAAGTTTTTCCTTTCCCTGCTAAATTGATCACAGAACAAGAGCAAACTAGCTTAGATAACCACGAAACAGAAATGTAAGGCTAAAGGTTAGATCTAATCATCCTAGAAACTGAATACAAATTAACTAGCTAACTTACTATATTTGTAACAGCACAGTTCTATAGCTTTGGTAGCAAAAGAAGGGCTGTGCCATGAAAACATGTTCCTCTGGCACCAAACTCATGTTCACACCGAGTTATCTCCTGACAGGTAAAATGAGATCTCGCTTCCTTGTGATGTAGTATATGACATTTGAGTAAGGGCAAATATTACTGTTTCTTAACATCTCAAAACCTGCAATAATTTTGTAGGATTCTTTCGTAAAGTTGTCTAGAAAATGAAATCATTTATTAATTTTTTCACACAATAGTTTTATTACCTGGGTCTCATTAATTCATTGTGTTCCAAGAACAAGGTTTTTGGTAAAGTTCTTTGAAAATAATTGCTGTAGAATGCTTTGTTTCTCTACCCTCCCCAGCTTCTTGAACTCTTTAAGTTCCCAGCTCAGGCTTGAAGGTCAACAACATGCTTTAACATTTTAAGTGTTGTTGCTTAGCATCACCACGAATTACAACTCAATTTATTTATTACACTGAAAGCAAGTTTCTTTCCACCCCTAACTATGACAAACCAAGGAAAATATCACTTGAATTTTGATACTTTTTTCTGCTTTAGTTTTCTGAATTTCCATTATTTAACCATGATTTTTTGCAGTTTTAGCTGTTGTTTGTGAAGGGGAGAAGGAAACCTTTAAAAAGACCACGAATAGGATGCCCATAAACAGCCAACGCAGTGTGAACAGTATTTTCCCAGTGCCGTACAGGACTATTGTTCTCTTCCTCATATGAACAATAACTTCTCAGAAAGCAATTAAAAGGAGAAATCCTAGGCTTTCAGGTCTCAGTGAAAAATTCTAATGCGCCTCTAACCCAAATAGCATCTTGGTCTTGTTTCCCATCTGTAATAACTGACTTTCATTCATTCTGTTCAGTATTGCACTAATTAAAAAGCCATGTTAGAGAAAGAAAGTGGCAGAAGGAGATTGCAACCACTGCTTACCACATATTTCAGTAACTCATTATGCAATGCTAGCTGCTGTTAACATGTTGTGCCAAACAGTAGTAAGAACAAGTCTTTATTTTAGACCGATGTTCAATCTGCAAGTGCTTTAGCTGTACGTTTGAAAAAGAAAACAACTTAAACATTGTATTCAACAGCGATCATGTAGGTCTTGAGACTACTGGATAACCAGGATATAACTTAGGGTGGGCTGTTTATGTTGCCAGGAATTTCAAAGAAACACAAGGCCATGAGTGTGGGAGACTATAAGGATGACTCCTTGCCTGATATACTGGGTTCTACCAGCACCTAGGACACTGAGACACTACAGCAGAGCTCCATCCTGCCTGAAAACAAGGAGGGAAATCTTGTGGCCCAAACCACATCACTCTAAGCAGACAATGAAAATAGAGTAAAGGAGCCGTTGATACTTTTGTGTCGATCTGGAGAAGGTGGGTAGGAATGATGCTCCAGGAAACTAGATCAACACAGCTACAGCAACAAGAAGCTGCAAAAAGTTCTAAAACATATCCTGTTACTCCCAGGCTTCCAGCTCCAAAACCACCTCAGGTTGAAAGGTGGTCGAGTTCTGCACTGGGCTCAGCAAAGGGCCTTTTCCAGTTTTTGGAGAGAAGGGATGCAAAACAAATCTTAAAATTACCAAAACATATCAGCTGACAAAGACAGAGAAAGATTTGTTAAAGAGCTAACCAAGAGTACAAAATATAAAACAGCGCCACTTGTGTTACAGCAGTTTTACAGCTATGAGTTAGATCTGACTGTATTCGCTGAAAGAAAAACCTTCAAGCTCATACGGATGAAAGAATAAACGTCATACTCAGAAAAAAATTACAGGGATGGCAAAGAAAACAGCCTTCAGGAGCACTGATCCTAACAACAAACTAAGGCATTAGGACTAAGGAAACATAGGTCACAGATAGACATCATCTTTCAACAGGGACAAAATGTTCCCTTTTAAGATCCATTAGTCTGTGATAAAACAATCCATCAATCCACGTGTGCCATAAGAAACCTTGTGCTGGAAAAAAGAAACAACTTGACCTTAAAATTTATGGTCCAGATCTCTGACCCTGGCTAAAGCACATGGAGCACAGGAACAGGCACATCAAGAATCTTACATTTCCCAAACTGAAGGATGGTTTTTGTCAGTACCTTTACCGGCTTGCGATGAGCAGGATTTACTGACAAACAGCTTTATTGCTAGGAGTACCTAAGCCTATGGGAACTACCAATGTGGGTCAGAGGTTCCCTCCTCAAGGTCAATCGTTAGGACCACTCAGCACACCTGGTCTGTGTTTCTCTCAATTCCATCTCACACAGTCCTTCAGACCCTGTCTCCACCTCCTCTTCCTTTTGGAAGGAGGTGGGGAACGCTCAGTGCCGGGATGGCCCAGGATCACCAGGTGGTCCCTCTGGGCTGGGGTGGACCAGCTCTGGAAGGAAGGCATGCATGGCTACAGACAGCGCAACTGCATGGCGTCGGACAACCTGGCCCACCGCATCGAGCCCCGTTACAAGAGTTCAGGCTCACCCTTGGTGAAGGCACTCCGTCTATCACACGAGGAGGAATAGTAAGAGGGATCTCCCACAGTCCTCCATTGCAACCTTTTATCACCCTGCTCTCAGAGGGCAGGATTTTCCTTGGGAGGTGTCCAGTCAGCTCTGAGAGACCTCGGTATACTCTCTGCCAGTAACCTTGTAGACTTGCTCTGTGTACTCTCTCTCACTCACTTGCATGTGGAGGACAGTAAAAGGGCTCTCCTTTCTATCTTCTGTTTCCTGGCTGACGCTCATCAGCATTGTTGGGCAGAAGCAGCTCAGGAATGGTGCAGCCACCTGGGCTGCATGCTGCTTAGATCTCTCTGCCAGCTTCACGTTAACGCTGTCCTCCATCGTCATTTCTAAAACTCACTGCCTGCTAAGGCTCAACTTTAACCCATCTGGCAAGCTCTCCCTCAAAAGGTAGTGTATGTGGGAAACCAAGGCGAAGGCAGAACGTTACCTGTGGCTCCTGGTAGCCCCGGCCTGCCTTGGGATCCCTTTGGTGGCCTCACACAGCCCGCACCTGCAAACAAAGCCGGTCAGTCACACTGTGCATGCCCACGCGCTGCCTCTCGTCAGCTCTGTGCCTGCAGCTGAGACAACGTCACTACAGCAGGTGAATGGAATTAACAGGCAAAACTCTAATCTGGAAAAATTTTTATTCTTCGTTAAAAAAAATATAAATTGGTCATGGATGGCATTTTCAGGGGAGCACTCAGGCTGAGCTCCAACCCAAGAGCTGCTCTTCTGTCTGTTTTACAGGGGCTACAGTGGCTGCTCCAGTTAGGCCGGCATGGGAAGGGTAGCCCAACCTCATGGAAGACTGTATTTCTCAGAATAAGAGAGACACTTTGTTTCCCTGTGGACAGTTTACACCCCTGAAGCAATCAAGTCAATTTTTGGTACAAATGAAGGGGTTTTTATTTTACATGTCAAATTGCTCTGACAATCTTCACTCAAAGTTTTTCTTAAAAAAAAAGTTGCTTAAATTTCTTGGCCACCTAATCTCTGCGACTCTTGTTATAGATTGCATGGTAATTATTATTTTGTCATATTAAACACTCAGGAGTGATGAAATAAAGGATTTCTGAATTGCAGAGCTAAAACTGCAATAATTCTAGAATATGTTTGATTTGATTAAATTACTTTAGAGCTACATGCAGTATATGCAGGGCTATTTGTGACCTGAAGTTCAAATAGTTTATAATCAAGAGCATCCAAAGCAGTCACGAGAAAGAAAGTATCAAGCCATGAGAGCAGCATAAGACTAAATATTAAAATACAGTGAAGCCATTTGTATGCACAGTACCTGACCATATTGGCTCACTTCCATCTCCTCTAGAAAAGTCTTCAACGACCTGTCCACAGTCTGAGAAAGAATGGGAAAAGACGGATATTATTTAAAAGAGAAAAACTAAAATGCTCTCAATTCTAACCAAAATCTCTATTATAACATCAGATGATGTATTCTCTTATGTATTATGCATACATACAACACAAACTATTTGCTATAACATAGTGGAACTCTATCCATATATTAATTAGATCCAGGCCTGAAATCTAACCTTGTCAGAGTTCGGAGGCTATGTGTCCCAGGCACTGTGTAGGGTTGGCAGATGCCTGCTCTGGCTTGAATATTCTGTCAGGTATCCCAAAGTTGAGCAATAAAACTCTGAGCCTGAGCTCTTGTGCATGTAGCCCTGGTGCTCTTACACTGGAAGGGACTTGGAAAGCTACAGAGATACTGTGAAGAGCTCTGAAGGACAGATACATGGTATCCTCTGGTCAGTTAAAAGATTATGTTGGATGGGGAAGACCAGAGAAAATCACCTGTGAGTACTCCCATGGCAGCACATCCAACTGCTGGAAACTTGAAAGACCTTACTTACTCACTCGATGTGAAACTACCGGGACTTTTGAAGTATTTCCTTCTTTAAGATTTCCAGACAACTAATACAAGCAATCCCTTTTCACCCACATGAATGACCCCCCACCAAACGCTGCCTTTTCAACAGTGGTGTACACAACAGATGCTGTACACGATTCAGTAATGATCTCCCACGGCTGTGATGTAAGACAGAGTGATGTCTCTTACCTAGCTGGCCAGGCTCTCCTGGTAGACCAGGCAGACCTGGAGGTCCAGGGCTTCCATCTTGTCCATGGTCACCTGGAGGACCCCGGTACCCTTTTGGACCAGTAAATCCTTCACCCGGCAGGCCTGCTTCTCCTGGAAAGCCCTTTGGGCCTAATTCACCTGGATAACCAGGATCGCCAGGAAAACCTCTGATACCATCACCCTGTGGGAAGCGAACAGAGGTGGTCACTCCTGAGTTTGCTGAGAAACAAAAAAACCTCAAACAATTGAACTACTTTCATGCTGCCTCTTACAGGCAGCAATTCCTCAGGTATTGCATCCCATCTTTTTAAATGAACATTGCAAAGAAAATATATTTGAAATAATCTGACTTTAATTTAGACCCCCACGGCAGAAAAGACATGAGAGGGAGCATTCCCCTAAAAAGGCTGGCCCATAAACAGCACTTGGGCAATATGAATCACTGCTGTGGAGAGGCTTTCTGCCCTTTCTGGAAAGCTGCAGGTGGGTTTTGGGGAAACCACACGCACCGCTAGAGATGTTCTGGTGTGGCATTTACTTCCAGGACCTTGAGAAAAGCGGACACAAAATTGCACCCAAATGGGCAGATTTTTTCTTTGTCTGTTTCTCTGGTGATATTTCTACACTGTTGAATCAATATCTTATGAACATCACTAGAAAATGTTTCCATCCTCAGAAGTAATATAAAGTACCATCTTTACTGGTTGTGAAAAGCACTGTGGTCCAGATTGGATGATATGGCTCTGGCAATCGTCAAATATGATCTAAGAGCATCCCAGTGGTCCAAAACAGCATTTATGATGGGCATGATGAATCCCTCTTGCAAGGTATTTAACTTTTCCTTTTGCCTACAGAAGGAGCTTACAAAGCAAATTAAGACTACATGTCTAACTTGTAGATGGCTACAGCCAGATAGGTGAGGAGCTATCAAGCATGTATATGATGACACAACCTACATTTTGAGGACATAAAATTGTAGTAAGTTTTCCTTTTCTTTAAATCAGTCATAACAAAGCTGTTGAAGTTCAGTCACGCATCTCTCTTAGATAATACTGCAAGGAGTCACTAATAAGCCACTAATTATTGCAAACTAACCACTAATAACAAGCTGGCCTAAATGGGTTATACACTACTACTTAGTTGCTTAAATAAAATGGAAATAGAAGTGATTGTTCTAAAAACCCTGAGAGTAAACTTGTTGTTTAATATATCAATAACCAGCAAAGCCAGTCTAGTTGTGCATTGCTGCCTGTGACAGGAGGGCAGCCAGGTGATCATAACCGCTCAGAATTAAATGCATTAGTAACTGAGTGTGGTGGAAACGGTTTAGCTGTATTTGCTACTTACTGGAAGACCAGGCTGTCCCGGTAAACCATCTAATCCATCTCTGCCTGGGAAACCATCTTCACCTCTGATACCAGGCAGCCCGGGATCTCCTCGGATTCCTTTGGTGCCTAAAGAAGACCTTTCATTGTGAGACCAATTTCTCATGAAAGGTATATATAATAGCAAAATACAAGCAATATGAATTTTTACTCTACCTTTAGTAGTTATGTGGAAAGAATCTCCCTTTTCTCCTTTTGGTCCAGGAAATCCATCTGGACCCGAAAATCCCTGGCGTTACATACATTAAAAAAGAAAAAAAGAAAAGAAACAGAACCACTTAAGAAATAAGTAGCAAGATTTGCATTTCCACTGTCCTGCTTTAAAAAAAGTCTTCTTAAATTTTACTGCTTTTCCATCACTTTCTGTGAATGATTTCCTCTTCAGTAATCCCATTCTTGTGCATGAATCTTTATTAATATGCTCTAACTAGGACCAAGGTCTATGTGGCATGGTAGGGGAGCTTCTGAATGAGGATGGCATTGGGAGAGCTGTGGCCCTCCATCACCTAAAGTCCTGTAGACGACTGCAGCAGCAGAACTGCATTGGAGAAAACATGGTAAATTATTCAGTGTGAGCCACTAAGGAAATTGTTGTAAGCAACTCTTTGGTACCACGGACACAAAACTCAGGGTTATATTGACCTGCAATTGCTCCTGCCCACCACTACAGAAGAGGACAGCCTCATATCTGGCAGTGGCTTGTGATTCACGACACTGTTGTGGGGCTGAAAAGTAGCACCGTCTTCATTGACCAGAGACAAGAACGTGGGCACAGAGTGATTAAGTGACCTGCCCCAAACCACAGACCCGTAGGAAGGGTTTTTGTTAGAAGGGAGAGCTGGAGGTTCCTAGTCAAACCCAGAACTTGGAGCTAGACGAGGTTGATCAGGGCCTTGCCTAGTCGAAAATGCCTGAAAATGTCCAAAGAGGGAGATTTCCTCCCTTGCAAAGGCAAACCGTAATGAAGCCAAAGACCAGTCTCTGGCATGCCTGATGCCTTGGCACAATGCAGAATCCTCCTCCTGAACAGCCCATCTGAAAGTGGTATTGCTAGCTTCTGGCCAAGAGCCTTTCAATCACAGGAGCAAATCCATGGTAGGTGCCAAGGCCCAGAGGCTACGGGCTCATTTACCATTGACTATTTTATGCCAGTGAGCTTTAGTTATGAATAATTACATTCATGCTCCCTAAAACATAAGCCACACAGGTTTCTCCCATAGGCGTTTCCTAGCCTCCTCTTACTGAATTCCAGGGCAGACCCTGAATGAAAGGGATGTACCTGATGCATTTATTTTTTGTTTAAAAAACTCCTGTGCCATACATTATTTGAAAGGGTGTCTTTTGCATCACTGTCTGTCACTGACATTCTCCAAGATTTTCTTGGATGAAAAGCATGTGTGGAAACCATATCTCAGCTGCAGGTCATCTCAACAATACAGGTTCGCACTTCTGTAAGTCTAAAGAGGGAGATCAGATTTGAGTATAAGGACGCTGCTTTACCCGGGCCACATCTGCCAACTGCATTTTAATGCTCAGTGATGCCACATCTACACATCACGTAAAGATGTTTCTTTTGGACATTGCTTTCTGCAGGCCAAAAGAAATCCCAAAAACTTGACGTAAAGCTGAATTATTTCACTGACTATAGAACTGCAGAAATCTTCAGCAGTAATACTGCATTAATAGTATGATGTTCATACTGCTGTTTTTTTGTTTTCAAGGTTTAGATGTGCATAATGCAATTTAGCACACAGGTGTTTTCAAAATGTTTTACATCTAAATAATGTCTCTTTCTAATTTCTCTTCCTCCACAGAAAAAAATACCCTTTGCTTGGCATCAAATCTCATTTTTATTAAAATGCTGTAGATCTGATCTTGATTAAGTACATTTATTGTCATGTACGTAACTCATTGAACGTGCTCAAAGAATTATGGAGTCAATTCTGCCTAAGAATATGGACCAAGGATATTTAAGCTAAATTGTTTCACTTTGAATTTCTGGCAGACCAAAAAGCTGAGATGAAGTCAGGGCTTTGCTGCTGAGTGATATTTTGCTATGCTGTGTTATGCTATGTCTGTATATGTCTATACTACTGCATGTTCGACAGTAACTTGAATTCTGGGATGAAGATACTGAAATTCTTCATTTCAAAGGCAGAAAACCTGCAGAACTTGCAAAATTTTAACTGAAGTTCGAACACTGAATGTCTTGAAAATATTTCTGTCATTTTTTTCATGACTTCTAGCAAGTAGAACTTTCATAAAAATATTTTGAATTTTCGGCAAAAAAAATTTCTACTTTTTCTGCTTTTTTTGACAACCACAATCAAGTGAAAGTTTATTTTATTTTAATTCTAAAAATTCCCAAACTTAAGCTAGTTGCGCATGAGTTTGTTTTTTCTGATGTTCAGAAGAGCCTAAAGCACTAACTGAAAACACTGTGTTTGCTCTGACATGTCTGCATAAACAAAATCCATTTTGGGTCAGCTTTACCAAAATTTTATTCTAAAACCTCGAGAGATGTGACTTCCTGAAGCCAGTTCTGACTGTGAGGAACCATGATGCAGCACCTTTAAGTGTAAATAACAAGCAAGCAATTATTAGCAAAGCCCCTTTCTCAGGGTTATTGAATGTTTGGTTTTAGAAAGACTTAATGTATTGTAAACAAGAACCTTACATTTCGTCATTTTGACATATTCCTCTCATCAGCAACAACTTTAAGGAACTACTGGAACTGTCACCCTTCTAGATGGTCAGATCATACTCCATGCTACAGCTGCTTGAAAGAGTTCTGCTGAAACAGCTTTGTTAATAGGAAGTGGACTTTGGATTATGTTGAAATCTTTCACTGTTTCCAAAACATGATATTTTCACCTCCATCCTAGCAAGTTTTGGCTTTCAGTATTTTGTAGACAACAATCTGAAAGCTATTTATGTGGCACAGAAAGACAGAAATCACGCTTGTCATCATCTTTCCATGGAGAACAGCTTGTTTTGGTTGGGGTTTTTTTTGGTTTGTTTTTTTTTTTTTTTTTTTTTTTTTTTTTTTTTTTTTTTTTTTTTTTTTTTTTTTTTTTTTTTTTTTTTTTTTTTTTTTTTTTTTTTTTTTTTTTTTTTTTTTTTTTTTTTTTTTTTTTTTTTTTTTGTTTGTTTGTTTTTGTTTTTTGTTGGTTTTTTTTTTTTTTTCCTAGTAGGCATATAAAGCCATGCAATAAAGAAACAAGTATCTCACTTTTGCTCCAGGGTAGCCAGGAATACCATGTGGTCCTTGATCACCAGGTTCTCCTTTCCTCCCAGTCTGACCAGGGATTCCTGGAAAGCCAGGAGGGCCAGGGGGGCCAGTAGAGCCCCTTCTCATTTCATCCCCCACAAGGCATTTACTGCAATCCCCTTCTTCGCCTGAGGAAAAGATTGGAAAGAGAAGAAAGAATGCTCTGTCACAACAGATGTTCAGCTGTATCCATTTTATATAGAGACTTGAGAATACTTGAGTAGTTTCTCAGATACTTGAGAAAAGTACTTCTTTTTATTTTTGTCTTACAAGAAAATAACACAAAGTTTCTGTGTTGTGTTAGCCCCAGATCAAATTCATTGGTCCCTGAGCTTGTCATGGTTCAGTAAATTCAGACTGAATACAGTGGGAGCTTTATGCAATACATAACAGCAGATCATCTATTGAGTTATCTGTTGTAACCTACCTTTAGGTCCTTTTTGTCCTCTTGGCCCAGGGAAACCTTGCACGCCAAATCTACCTGGCGTTCCCTCCTGTCCTTTCAATCCAAAGAGAGGACCTAGAAGTTTAATTAAACAAAAATATAAATTAATCTACTGTAGATTTACTTTTCTTCTCTTTCCTCCCTATTCCTTCGAGCTGCGCTACATCTGCCCTTTTCTGTTTCCCTTAATGACATTTACTGTCCAAGCCAGCCTGTTGTGAACTACCCCCTGCTCTCCTCCGAGAGATCCCTCTTCTCACAGCTTTCCCACACCCGTTCTCATAACTTCCTTCTGCTGTGGCAGATGATCCTTGCCGTTCTCTGCTCCCTCTCAATTCCTTCGCTCCTTTCTCCCAGCACAACCTATGCTGCAGTACCACAGACCACCTGCTCTGGATCACCTCCTGCACATCCTTTTCTCCACTCCTGCTCTTGCATTGCAGTGTGGTGGTTTCCACAGAGGCACAGCACCATCTCAGTCAGAAGTGGCCTCTGGAGGCCACCTGGTCCAACGCTCTGGTCAAAGCAGGGCCGACCTCAAAGCTGCAGTAAGTTGCTCAGGTCCTTCTCCAGCTGAGTACTGAGTATCTCCAAAGATGGAGAGTCTACAACCCCTCTGGGCTATTTGTTGCAGTATCTGACCACCCTCATGATGAAAAACGTTTTTCTAATATCTAAGAAGAACTTCCCTTGTTGCAGCTTGTGACCGTTGCTTCTTGCCCTGTTGCTGTGCTCCTTAGAAAAGCATCTGGTTCCATTTTCCCTATGACATCCTGAGAGATGGGGAAGTTAGCAGTAACCTTCCCCTTAGCTTTCTCTTCTCCAGACTAAGGAACAAATCCAGCTCTCTCAAACATGCCTTGCCTTGACACTTCTATGTCATACGGTCCAGCCCCGTAACAATCTTGATCCTCATATCCCTTCTCCAGCCCAAAACAGAACTTCTTTTCTTCCAAATGTTGCCAGGAATGTCTAAGACACATGTAAACCTCTCCTTCCTCTCCCCTGTGTGTCCTCCCTGCCACTCATTTCGTTCTGTTCCCTCAATCCACTTTCTCCCTTTGCCTTGCCAGCAGCTATCTTTACAATAAGCAAAGATGTTCCCGTGAGTTCTCATCGTCTCTTTTTCTGTGCACTTACCAGGGGATCCGGCGGGACCGGGTGGACCACGGAGTCCTGGCGTGCCGTGCTTACCCGGGAACCCCGGTGGGCCTGACTGATAAGCGGGAGATCCTAATTCACCTTTTTCACCTTTTGGCCCCATTTCTCCAGGTAAGCCTGGCTTATCCCCATCCACTGAAAGAGAACCAGGGAAGAAGCTGAGAACCATTTCTTAACAACGCTGCTCAAACAGCTGTAATGTAGCAGAAGGGAAAGTTCATGCAACTGCATCTAGCAGGCAAGGAAAAACGGAGATATTTAGCATAGAGCAAAACCAGTAATTGCATTTTTCACTTGAGTAAATTAATAGCAGTTACAGAAGCAAGGCTCTGTCATCACCTCTACTTCATTTGTTTTGCCAGAGCCCCACCGAGGTGGAAGCAAAACACCCCTCTCAGTTTTCGCCCCCGCAGTTAGTTATCTACCGTGCTGTGCTGCGTATTCCACGCTCTGCACATAGATTTCTCCCACCCCAATCCTGTACCAGTTAAAACTCATTATAAAGTTAAGCTGTTGGAACACGTGTTGCTGTTATTTTTGTAGTGTATGGTATATTATGGTATATTACCATCAGAGAACCCAGGAAGACCAGGCAGCCCACGATCTCCTTCCTCTCCCGGGTCTCCCTGTAGCCCAGAAACACCTGGAAAGCCTGGCTCACCTCTTGCACCTGAAAAACATCCACAGTTCCACAAAACACACGTTAATGCGATGCTGTTTGTGACCCATAAATGCTGACTTGTGATACACTGCAGATATTGCTCAATTCTAAAACAGTAAAAATTTGGAACTTCAAGAGCTTCAGAATATTAGCATTTACAATCCTTTCCTAAAGGCAGCTTTACAAATGCAAAAACCCACTACCTCATGCTGCCTCAGTCTAAATAAAGAAATATATCTGAGAGATTTCTGTAAAGCCCAAACACCTGGGAGCTGAGCATGGCCGGTGACAGGAACAGTGTGCAGCCACCAAGCCCAGGAAGAAGAATGGCTCTCAGCTCTTACTAATATGCCACTAGGGCTACATTGCTGGGAAGCACGGAAGACCAGCTCTCCGAGAAGAGTCCCTCCTTTTCCCTGCAAGAAGTTCCCATTCTAACAGATGTGTGACGTGAGCTTTCCTCGGCTCTCCAGTACCAAAAGCCTCTGGCTGGGCCCCGCCATTGCCTGCAGAAAGTATTGTGCTCTTGTCAAAGTTAGCGACACTAAATGACATGTGGTGCGTCCAGCTCTCTGCTTGCTTCCTCCTCTCTCTGCAGACCCTCCTGCTCCTAAAAACCTGACAGGGTATCTGGGGTGATCTGGACAATGTTTTGGGCCTCTTGACCCCTATCTCTGGAGGAAGGGAACCATTCATTGTTAGACTCAGACTTTCCACAAGACTAGCAAACTCAACAGTAGGAGGACTCAGGCCTAGGCAACGGCATGTGACCATCCTTGCTGTTTGCAGGCATCTTCCCCAGGACATCTTTGGCCTTGGCAAACTGGTATCACCTTCTGTGTGTTTCTAGTCTGGCCAGCCAGAGCCACTGCAGCTCTGCAGGACAGCTGGCAGTGGCTGCTACAAGCCTAGTGAAAAGGTCACAGAGGAAATTCATCAATTTAACAAAGGAAAAAAAAATCCTCTTCTATTCCTCTAGACTTTTTTTTTTTCCAAAATATTAGATTATGAGCATGGTCTCTGCTGTGCTGCCATTGCTGCACTTTATCCAGAGTCTCTGAAAGAGGGTGCAGGAGACAGACTCTCCCGTTCTTCCTTTCACTGGACAACAAAGTCACACGCTTTTTTGCTTGTTTCTTCTCTGTGGGCACAGGAATGCATGGATGCCTTTTGTATAGCAAACCAGCTTCCGCAGGGGAGACTTTGACAAAGGTGAGTAGGGCACGCAGCCAGAAAGCAATTACACTTTCTGGAACAGTTTAGCAAACTACGGTTTTTTAAGGAGTTGAATTTTCAGGATTTCAGGCTTTTGATCTGTGTAGAAGGTAGTAAAATGTGGCTAAGATAAGCAATTTAAGTGAAGAAGACGTACCTTTCCTTGGGATGCGAGAGGGAAAATAGGAAACAGGTCCTGGAGGACCAATCTCGCCTGGCTCCCCCTGTTAACAGAAGTTGAAGCACAACATCTAAGCATATTATTCTAGAGAATTTCTTTTAAAATGGAAAGGTATGCCCATGAAACAGAAAGAAACAAACTTTCAAAAGCACTGCTGTGACTTTTAAGAAATCTCAGCGATTTCAAGTGAACAAACCACATAACTGGTTCTACAATGGCGACAAATACAATTGTTATTACACGTCAGAAAACAAAAAGAAAGCAAAATGACATCTGGTTTATTGCTTCTAGCAAATGAACGTAAAGTAGTACCTTGCTCCCCCTAGGACCATAGGCACCTGGTGGACCATCAAATCCTGGAAAACCCTGTAATACAGATAAAAATGATTGACTTTATCAGAGAGAGAAGAAAATTATTTGGTCTGTAGCAGCTGGCTTCCTCCGATGTTGGTGTGAAAACTATGCAACAGAGCTGAGCAGTTCATCTCCCTGGGATGTAGTAATTCAGGTAACACCATTAAGTCTCCTCATTGTTTTGATGTTCCATCTCTTGGACCAAGCCTAACTCCTGTCCAAGGCCAGAGGGACCTGCTGTGGTGCAGGCTCTGTCACCCCTGGCAGCGGTGCAGATGGAAGGAGCACCTACACTCACACCGTGCCCTTGAAGGCTGCAGGGCGGTGGAGGAGAACGGGGATCCTCTCTGGCCAGTTGACTCTGAGACATGTGGGCCAGGCATCCAGAACACACCGACTTGCTGCAAGAAGACTGAATGAGTCTGAATCATTACGAGCAGACATATTTTCACTGGAATGCAAACAGCGAGCAGCGAAACAGCTCTGAAGTGCTCAGGTCCTTTTTGCTGTTTTCCAGGCAGCTGTTTGGCCAAAGAGGGGTTCCCCAGCTGAACGAGAAGAACTCACGACCAGCTCTGAAGGCGCCTGCATCCACCTCTCCCATTGCCGGGCATTCACTCTCTATAGAAAATGTTCGTATGTACTCTGGAAAAAGACTAGTGTCAAAACGGTGAGCTTTGAGCAGAAAAAAGGGGCCAGATCCTCAACTGATATCAATTAACACAGTTTCGCTGAAACCAGCAGATTTGTATAATTAGATCATTAGCCAGCTTTTTTAAAATTCAGCATCTCCGAAGTTTCACAGTGGGAACAACTCCTCCGCAGAACCTGAATTTTAATAGCCAGCTCGGTAAGTCACTCACGCAGTTTTGAAGCTCTACAAATACCACAGCTCTCAGCAAGATGCCACAAACTGCACCGCATGCTTCAGAGACATTTCCACGATGGCAACTGCACATCACATCATCGGTAAAGCAGCCCCTCGAGTAGCAGGTGTAAAATCTCTTTACACTAGGTGGAGCTGGTGCTCTAAAAGCCAAGCTGGAAGCTTCCTAATTAGCTGCGACTTCACAGAATCACACAGAATCACAGAATCACAGAATGTTCAGGGTTGGAAGTGACCTCTGGGGATCATCTCGTCCAACCCTCCTGCAGAAGCAGGGTCACCTACCGTAGGCTGCAGAGGACCTTGTCCAGGCGGGTCTTGAATACCTCCAGAGAAGGAGAATCCACAGACCCACTGGGCAGCCTGTTTCAGGGCTCCGTCACCCTCAGAGGGAAGAAGCTCTTCCTCATGTTCAGCTGGAACTTCCTGTGCTTCAGTTTGTGCCCATTGCCCCTTGTCCTGTCACTGGGCACCACTGAAAAGAGTTTGGCCCCATCCTCCTGACACCCACCCTTCAGATATTTATAAGCATTTATAAGGTTGCAGGCAGGGCTTAACCATCCTTCTCTCTTCCCTGAGAATCAAATCACTCGAAAAGCAACAAAAAGGGGCTCATTGTGAAGAGCACATCGAGTAGTCTGTTCCCTCCCACACACGTTGTACAACGATACTCCTTCCAAACCAGTGTACATTCCAGGAAAATTGTTGCCAAGACTCACCTTGAATAAGGGGAAGCCACTGAGCACTTCTGGCTGCAGCACGAACCTATGCTAAGGGCAACCATTTTGCTCTACTGGGTTTTGCACCAGCCTTTCCACGTACGTATTACTGAGCACGTAGTCCCGTTCCACACCACCAGGTTTTGCGATCGGACCGAATAGCTGTGGAAATGTTATTTTGCACACTCCACGTGCTTTCGTGTCCCATGTGTTTCCTGTTATTCATGCCTTGGTGGCAGGACAAATCCTTAAACAACTAAGGATGGAGAAGCATGGAAAAGTCATGCATCCCACAGCTATTTGGATACCTCATGGAAGTGATTTCTAATGCTGACTGAAGAAGCCTTTTTCTGAGCACAAACAGAAAGTATGAGCTCTTCTCTGTCTGACAGAATGCTATTTTAAATATTTGGGTGTGTTTCCATGGGGACAGAGATTTAACTGGTATATTTATCAGTTTCCTTTTCTTCTTTTGTGATATTCAGATGACACATCTCAACCACATTTGCAGAAAACTACTCAAAAAAGTAAGTTTCTGGATGTAGGAAGAAAATTACAGAAATCATGGTCACTGTAATGGGAACAAGGAAAATGACACCTCCTCATAGTGCTCTTAAAACACGCTTATGTTTTAAGCAAAACAGACTTCAATTATAGGGCTACTTTTTTTTCTCACTGATGAGAAAGCTAACTGACCCAAAATTACAATGATGGATGAATCCAGACGATATTTGTTAGACTACAGCTAGCGTAATTACAGGCAGAATTTGTCCTCTACGGTTTACTTTTCAGACAGATTGTCTACATATGTGTAAGAAATAACAGTCTTGTATGAAATACTCACTCTTTCTCCACTGAGTCCTGGGAAACCATTGATGCCAGGCAGCCCCTGTGAAGGCACAATAAAATTGGCAAAATAAAGTGACAACCTAACATCCTAATGGTTAAGAACCATAATTGTTTCTTAGATAAAATAAATCTGACAGCTTGAAACTCTAACAGTCAGAGTGCAGATACTTTTTCAGTGAGATTCATGCACGGTACAAACAGAACAAGTCTGAAATCTAATTTGGTGTTTGATTTTCATCTCTTAATCAATGCATTGTAATTTGACCATGAAGATTTTAAAGACGGCTGAGATTTTTTTAAATGTGCGCTGAGTACTGTTCTCACTCTGCTTAAGCACTTTAGAAACACTGCCCCGGCAAAAGCATCCATAGGTGCTACAAGGTAGTATTATTTAAATTAGCTTTTTTTCTGGGATCACAAGTAACTGGAGTCAAACTCATGTTCGTTAGCCATGGTCTGAAGAGAGCTAAGCTGGGACCAGTGAAATACAGTCTGTGCTGAGGACCAGGAGAGTAGCTGTGGTTAGTGAGCCCAGCTTTAGGTAAGAGATGCACAAGACTTCGCAATGATGGTACAGGCATACTCGTGAGTCCCGTGGGGCCCTCCTCCCACCATTTCAAAATGGCCTTTTCGCTTTCCTATATCAGGCAGTTCAGAGCTGGCCACAACTATCATTTACTATCATTTCTACAGTTTGTCAGTCTGTGTTTTGTTCCTGAAGGCAAACCCTCCGCTTGGATTTGCCCATACCGCTGGGTGAATTTTACCTTTAACGAGCGACTCACCCTTTGTCCTGGGAAGCCCACTACCCCTTCTTCACCTTTTTCAGGAGCAGAGACAAGTACACCCTAGGAAACATTACAAGTCAGTTCAACATATTTCTTCATTATGTGCAAAAAAATTGTAAAACTGTTTTATGGAAGCTAAACAGGAAGAAACCATCATTGTAACACATGGAGGATCTAATAATAGTTGCATGTGAAAGAATTGTTGTCCTTAAAATTATGTGTAACTTGCTTGCTTCACGACAATAGCAGGAGCAGGCCATTAGGGAAAGGACAGGGTTTTCCTCCTATCACCTCCTCCTGCTGTTTTTCTTCTGTGGCTGTAACTCTGAAGAAGTGCCAAAGCAATTGTTCAGCTATACAACCAATTAAACAACTCAGCTTATGCCTGAACTATAGCTTCAGAGAGCTATTTGACAAACATAGGCATGCTGCTCCCTGCCCTACTGTCAAAAAAAAAAGAAGGCAGAAACACATATCCCCTTTTGCTAGATCAACGTAACATCTATGGTTTTCCTAATGTAGTCAACAATATTCTACAGATGTAAAATCTGACCAACAGCTGAAGGACTGGCTAGCAACTGCACACAGAGGGCATCAGGGCTCAGACTGCAACCTTCTCCCATAACCTTGTACAGCTGAAGGACTGGCTAGCAACTGCACACGGAGGGCATCAGGGCTCACACTGCGACCTTCTCCCATAACCTTGTGGAGAAGCTGACCAGACCATCTGAGAAAATACAGCTCTTGCAAAATGCTCAGTGAGGCATCCCTAATTGGTAAAGACTGTATTTTAAACCACTCTGGGAAGTAAAAAGGAACCACTCAATGGCAAAGCTATTTAGACAGTCTAGAGATTGCCTGCGAGTTAACTAAATGACATTCGGTCAAGCCTTGTGGACAGCTCTAAATGCTACAGCAACACATGGGATTACTGTCCACTGACTTACTTCAACAGGCTTAATGACCACTGAGACCAATGTCTGTATGTGCTGGAGAGTAGACTGAAAAGGATTGAGGAAATTTCCACATACGCTTATTTAATGAAATTTAGTGGAATTTTTAAACATAGATCAGCAGATCAGCAGCAGTAACGATATTTACTAGTAGTTAAAGCTAAAATGAAAAAATTTGTGAGGGAAAATCTTATTTCAGTAAACCAGTAAGAGAACAGCTGATTGCACTGTGGAGTTGTTACACGTCATGTTGTTCACTTTTTCTAAAGCATCACAACTGGTGTCTCCGCTTATGTTGCTCCATATCTATATTGCGTCATTTCAATGAAGAATGCACCAGTATTAACTCCAGTATTATTATGTGTCTTTGTTCATGTCCACTTGACTTACTGGAACTCCAGCTTCTCCTTTTTGTCCAGGTTCTCCTTTTTCACCCTAACAATACAGAAAAAGTATTCAGATATGTTATGCATTGCAATTTACATTTCAATAACTTTTCTACGACACAAAGTGACACGAGAAAAAACACCACTGTTGTGCTGTTCTTTATTCACACACTTGTCATATGCAATGCACATTTTCCTAAGAAGTTTATAAAGTTGCCTTTTGAAAAAAATATTTTATAATTTTCCTATTTTCCTTTATAATTATATTTCCTATAATTTCCGCTTCTAGGAATGTGAACACCTCAAATTGTTTCCAGGTTTTCTCATGAGATGTCTGGGTGGTGAGTGCCTGAGTAACGCCTGTAAACAAACGCCCATTTTCCCATTTGTACCTACTGATTATCTACGAATTGTCTGATCAAAAGTAAGAGTTCCTGTCAGGATGAGACAAATCATAGCCTGAAGTCAGCTCACTATATTGATGATATCTCCATTGAATATAAAGGTTCTCCAGGTAAACAGCTCACATGCGGACATCTGTCCTTAGTCATGGAAATCCCAACATGTACGTTACTTAATGCAGACTGCAGACTGTCAAAGGCATTTTTAGATCTTTCAGTATCATATCAATTTACTCACCTTACTGCAGAAATGGCATGAGCCACATGAACTTTCTAACTTCAAATTTGGGATGAAAAACTACTGGTCTGGAGGTTGGTGTCTGATACAGAATATATGCAGAAGTAGAAGTATCTCTGCTCCCAGCAAGAAGCAATAAACGAGAATGAACTGCATCTTGCTGTTGAGGATTTCTTCAATATGTATGAACAAGCCTTAACTGTAAGTATACAAATATCTGCACCATATAGATAAGCTATATAAAGAAACAAAATAATTCAGATAGCTTCCCTAAAGACATGCTTCTTTTACAGGAAGAAAATTTCACTGACTAATATGAAAAATAAGATATTGAATGATCTCTCAGCAGGTATTTCTGCTTGTAAAATGAGATGTGAGTGATGGCCAGTAGCTGCAAACATAAACAAAAAGAACAAGCTTGCCTAAGGCACCTCTAGTCTGTGAGAAGTGCTTTATGAATGACTTCAGCCACAATAGTTTCAATAAATACTTCATGATCCAAGCTATGGGAAAGTAGCAGGTTTCTCTTTTGATATAGTAAAGTCTTCTTGGTACTATTGTAAAAGCACATTTGTACAATATTTTGGTTTCAGTATTGCAGAGCTCTTAGTTCCTTGTGTATTTTGGCAAAACACCTTGTAGTTACCTTGTGTTTGTCAGAGGGGACACCCGTCAGTTCTCTTGTAGGAAGCCCAGGTGGACCTGGAGGACCTGGGGGGCCCTGCAGGAAATCATAAGGGTACATTTACTAACAGTTACAATACCTTGTCAAGCTGTTGATCGGCACAGTGTCTAACAAACTGCAACAAAAGGAGCAATGCAGATTTGCCCCTGCTAGGAGTATGGTCCTAAATCTCTGGATAAATTGATGGCAGGGTAAATTTATTTTGGGCTGGGATTAGCATATAGCAATACTTGCTCTTGCCCTGTATGTTTCCAGAATGATGGTAAAGATTGTTGCTTTATATAAAGTGGTCTGGCTCTATAAATTTCAGAAGTGTTACCTCTGTGTTGGTGTAAATGAGGGCACAGCTAGACCTAGACATGTAGAAGTTAGTTCAGCTACGACATTCCTTATGGAGATTATAATTACTTTCAAAGCTATATTTGTTTGTTTTTCTCTTATAATTACATAATACAATTGCAAATTAAAAGAGTATTTAAAATAGGTTCCTTTATAAATAGCAAATAACATCAACCTGTCTTTTAGTAGTGATATTAATTCATTACTTTTCCTTTACCTGTTCACCTTTTTCTCCATAGAAGCCAAGACCCCTGTTTCCCTGCAAAAAACAATAGGCCAAGATTTACTAAGTGTACAATTCAGTTTTCTAATCTAAAATTCAATTTAAACACGCTTAAAGGCCTTTCCAGGCTTACAAGTCTGTAGGACACCACTGAAGAACTACAATCAAATAACGGTCTAGGGTTACTTCAAAGTATTTTTATAGATTCAAAAGTATTTTTATAGACCTAAACATTCAGAAAGACAATTCTAATTAAAATCTCATGCTACCAGTGCTTCTTACAACAGACTTTGAGTCATTCACTGAGTAATGTCGTGAAAAGATCAAGCATTTCTTTTGCAAGTTTTTTAATAGCACTGAATGTTAAACAAAAATACCTAAGTGGGCTGGAACAATGAACTCATATATTTTTTTCTGCTGAGATATAATTGAATATTGTGAAGACTGCAAGGATTCTCTGTTCATGGGAAGCTACTGTGACTACAGTAGCAATTTAAATCTGGCTCTAGAACTGGCTTAATCGTTTTAGGGTAGGCGATCCCAGTGTAAGATTAACTTCTCGTGGTACGCAGCCAACACAGAAGGTCTTGTGCTACACAGCCTTTGGTGCAGCCTGTGGTTCTTTATTTTACTCACTTCAAGTGGGTCTTGTATAAACCTCAGCGACACAAAATCAACACAAACAACTCTGACACAAAAGCTTACTTGTGGTCCTGGTGGTCCTGGGGGCCCTGGTGGTCCCTGGGGAAACACAATAGGGGAGAGCAAGTTACTTGTTGCTTTCTAATCAGGCAGGAGGTCAGTTACTTTATGTCTGAAATAGAAGTATATATTTGCAAGGCAGTGTATTCCTTAGCATTCACTGTGCCATCCTCACTGTATTAGCTGTGTTTACTGTTCTGAAAAATACCTTCCTAAGTCACATCGCAGTCTTTCCTAACAGAGTAACAGTCCCCCGACTTAGACCTATTGAAATCCCATTTTCATTTCAAGTAATAAGAACTTGTGCTTTTGGATCCTGATTTAACAACATTTTAAGCTCACACCTAAAGTTAAGCACATCTTAAGCACTGGTGGCTTGGTATTGCATCGGTCTGTAAAGGGAGTTGAACTACCCTACGGATCTCAGATTACCCATTTGGTATTGTACAGAACGAAATCAAAGGAAGATGGTGGGAAAAGAAACTGTAACAGGAAAAAATGCTGCTCGAGTCTTACAAGAAGAGCAGTAGGAAAGCCATCAACTGGAGAGACAACCTGCCTTGCTTCAGTCAGCTATGCCAGTTAACAGGCTCCAAAGGGCTCTACAAGTTAAAAACGCCAAATGCAGGAAAGGTGGGGTGAAGAAGCAGCATGAGCAGTTCAGAGAGGAAGATGGAGAAGAGGCATAAAAAAGAGAGCAAGCTGCAGACAGAACCATCCATCTACTGAGCCCCGAAGAGGACGTAACTGGATTATGCAAAATCAAGCCCAACTTGCAAGGAAAACATAACAACATTCAGGTGGGACCTGAACTTGCTATATGCCTCTGCCTTGCTATGTATCTTTGTGTGCACAAACAGTCAACTTCTGAAAAATATTACATTTGAATAAGTTTTGGTGAGTCAAGCAGTCTGTGAGCCATTGCCTAACCTGCTGGGCAGATGCACTGTGCAGGGCATCCCGCTGCCTGGAGGTCCTGCAGGGACTTAGGGGAGCCATGCTTGCCTTCATGTGGGATCAAGGACTTAGGGAAGAGGAATGATGCAAACTCAGACCTGGGAAATGCTCCCAGGTTGCTCTCACTGATGAGCCGCTGCTTTAGAAATGGTCAATACAGTTGGATATATTTTGTTAAGAGCTGAAGATGGTGGGGATCCATCTACTCTGGAAGGGCGTTCAAAAGAGATGTTGTTGCCAAGATGGCAACCAGAGGGATGTAGTCACGGGGCTCAGAAAATGTATGGTTCATAGCACTCCTAACATCCAAGACTGTCCCAGTTTCCACTGGGAATGTGAGCCATTGTAGGCTGGGGTCCTGTGTGAAGCTCATGAACTGTATCGGTTCACTCTAGAGGAAAAGTAAAGGACTGAGGAGACTTCTCTTCAGGAGGACAAGAGAGGAAAAGGTGCAGCTTGCTTCAGATGATAAAACTGCAGGCTGCTGCAGAAAATTAACTTTGGAAAGGCTTAGCATGCTGTGGATTTAGTCTTAGAATTTTGTTTGTTTGTTTGTTTTTTCAGGGGGATGTCCCTGAAAACAGCTCTGGAGTCTGTGTGTAAGAAGCCCTGAATTAATTTTTTTTCCTCTCATATCAGTGATGTTGAGCAGGTCTGAAGTGAATTTTGACACAACAAATGAGAAAGAAAATTCTATAAAGTTGTCTTACAGAAAATAAAGCAGGACTAAAGAAAATGAAATCTATTGAATTTGAACATCTGCTTCTCACCCATAAAACTATTAACTTTGGTAGTAAGAAATGAAGAAAATGGTATCTGGCGGGAACACAACCTTTCCAAAGAACGATTCAGTAACAGTTGTCAAAGTCAATGCTGTAAATGTTGATTTTGGAAAAAATGACCAATAAATAGTTTTTTAAAAAATTGTGTTCTAAATACTAATGAAGAATGTTATCTATACAATCTCCTGAGGGAAGTTTGCAGAGCTAATATACATACCCTTAATGAGCACAGAAAAGATAACATATTTAGGTTCTGACATCTTTGATAACTCGGTGTGGGGGGAGGTAGAGTGGACAGCATTGAATAATCTTTACAAACAAGACTCATCCAAGGAGGTTAAAGAAATACAATACAAATCAAAAACCTCTGGGAATATAGGGTGAAACAAACTGAACCTCTTTTTGCAATATTCATCCTTGAAGAATCAGTGTCTCACAGTGCTTTTTAAAAAGTTGTGCATCCAAGGACACTTACTTGGTCTTTCTAACCTGTTTTTTCTACCCATTTGCTAGATTACAGTCCAACATAATGGAACTTGCTGAGATGATTCTTGTGTCAGGTAAATTTTCTATAGAACGTATTTTAAATATACTTACCGGTCTTCCTCGCTCTCCTCTTGGACCAGCAGGTCCTTGAATACCCAGTGTACCTGGAGGCCCCTTTAAATGAAAAAAACCCCCAACCATCAATTAATGTTGTTCTGGTATCAGTTCCTATTGACACTTTATGACATTTGCTGTAATACTACTTACTTGAAAACCATTGAACCCTGGATCCCCAGGTTCTCCCTAAAAAAACCAAAGAAGTAAAAAATGCAATAAATACTATATACAAAATTGAATAAAATCTTTTTGTCACTCATTTTTTTTTCTCATTCCAAAAAATAATCATAGCATATAATGCTACACAAACCCTTACATACAGATGCATTCAACACAGGCGATGAGATAACCGAATGTGGGCCACACGAGTTTTGTACTTTCTATATGGAGTATAGTTGCATGCAATACAGTAGGAGGATACAAAATTGGCTAGGGAAGTTAAGAACCCAAACTACGAGGCTGAAATCGATAACAGACCACATTTAATTCTTTTTTGAAAAATCTCATCTAACCAGTGGCTTAATTAGGGCTTAGCTGAAATGTACAAGCTTATTTTTCATGAGTTGCATGGGAATTACTGGATCATTTTGATTCTCTTCTGAGTCATTAAAAGCATTTGGAACATACTGTTTTCAGTGACCACATATTTTAACTGCAGTACATGTTGAAATGTTTTTGCAAATTGGATCCAAAAATGTTCTAGCGCAAAGACCTTCCAATACCCATAAATAATGTGGTATTCAGTCCAGACACCTTCAATCATTTTGAACAGCATCCTAACTATCTAGTTAATTTGAGTTTAGTTAACAGAATGATTTGTGGAACCAAGTACTTTCTGAAACGAATACAGGTGTCAGCATCCATCCTTGGCCACAATACATTTGAGCAGTTCTTAATCATTACTTAATCATTCCTAACTGCTAACAAGTGCAGATTTAAAGAGTTTCTGAAAGGAACAGGAAGATTTTTAACCTTCCTTTATATATACAGGCAACTTACAAAAATACAGGCAACTTACAAATATGTGAACAGAAAAACCTGTTTTGGCACTCATAACTGGCAGAAAACATATGTAAACAATGTCAGCAGATCCCTTCTGTGCTGAGGACCGCTCAGATGTAGCTTTGCACATAAATTTGTCACAATTTATACTCTAACAGCATAGGCAACCCTTATCTTTACCTGATACCTTCAAATTATAGAAGACCATACATATCAGAAAAAGCTATAAGTGATTACAAAACAAGTTTTTACGAATAGATACAGTAAAAACACCCATGGGAATACTTGGGGTTTACTAAGTAATTAAATAATATATTGAAGCATATTTTATCCCAAGTCAACCAAACTCCTGCCTGAAAAATATTCTTAAAGGATTCTAATATTAGATAGAGTCATTCAATGGACAAAACGATGCCAAAGCAATGATTTTGCCATGCATGATACAAAGGTAATCATTGAATAAAGAGGGTAATACTTGAACTATAACATCTCCAGTGCCTCTTTAATCCACCTGTAGGCTGGAATGCCTTGAAAATAACTGAATGGAGATTTTTTTTCCTAAATCTCAAGTAGACTTTGCTGTAACCAGAGAAAGCAGAAGCTGCCTTGCAAAGCCTACAGCGAATCAAAGTGGGCCTCTTGGGATGTGTCTGTCAGTGTAAGAAAAATTAACTCTCCACCATCTGCTTGTAAAACAGTACTGTGCATGAATAACTCACAGGAGTTACAGACGTACCCTGTATCGGCTTGCGATGTCCGGTGGCAGTATATAGGGCTCCCCCTTCTGTCCCTTTGGCCCTTGGACTCCCTGGAGGTGACCAAAAAGATAATAGAAGTAAGCTGTCATATCATGTTTGTTAACACGTAAACAGCTAAGATCAATGAAATACATTTGTTGGGGTTTTCCTGAGTATATATGTACTGCTGTTTAGAGGCAGAAGCTAGGCCTAGCTTTGGAAATTCAAGGTTTAAAAACAAAGTGTAAACCCTCTTAGTACATAAAAGAATGAATTTCTGATTCTGGGGGAAGAACCCCCCCCATTGTCTAGAAGTGGTGCTACGGGGTGACACCTCCAAGCTAGAGCAGCAGCTCCCCAGCACTGACACTTGCCCTGGTACATCCAGGAGCCCCACTGCTCACCTCACCTATGTACCACGCCATGGAAAGCCAATACTTTCGCCATGGGGCAGGGAAGGATTTCATCAGGAACTGTGAGTTTAATATTGTTTTACTGCTGTTGGATAAATCTGTACAGGTTTTCCTGAAGTAATCTCTCCGCAAGACCTGCGTGACAGGTATGGCTCTGGGCAGAACTCCCAGCTCTGTCTCAGTTTAATAACTAAGCACAGTGCAGCGTGTCCATGGCAAGTCCTCACAGACGCTCTACTGGGCCAAAAGGGAGCTCCATTAAGAGATGTCCCATTCACTTCCAACACATGTGTGAATGAAACTCACTTCAGCAATGATCTTACCCTCAGGTACTCACTTATTGCCAGCTACTTACAATTGTACCAGGGAAACCAGCGAGTCCGGGACTTCCCGAGTCACCAGGATCACCTACTGTCCCATTACAGCCATCATGACCTGGTTTCCCCCTTGATCCTGGCTGCCCAGGATGACCCTGTTGAGGAAGAAAAAAAAAAGTGTTTATCTATCCATCTGTTTCTAGTTTTCCTTTTCCTGTAGTCACACAGTATTTAGACATTCTCACATTAAGGCCAAGGCTTGGATCCATGGGAAACTATGATTTTCAAAGACAGAAACAGACAGTGCCTTTTTTTAATATAGCTGCAGCTTGAACCAGATGCCCCAGACAGCATGAAAAAATGAGTGGTGAAGGACCTTTCAGAAAGGGTAAGAAAGCTATGTTCAATGCAGGCTCTGTTAGGCAGAGCACTAAGCCAGATGAAGCTGCTATGCAGGGAGCCACCAAGAACTGGGATTATTAAGCATTTCAGTGCTTCACAATGAAGAGTGGGAAGAAAGGTTCCTCGCTGCCTTTGAACAGCTTCCAAGCCGGGAACAAAGTCAGAGATGCTTTTGGAGCTAGGTTGAGTGTCGTGATGAGGCTGTAAGCATGGAAGAAAACAGCAGGGCTCAAAGCAAGGGAGCCAGGGGCACTGCAGAACCTCCACACAGAGCCTCAGAACAGCTACTCCTGTCTCAAACTGGATTTCCATTGCTGTACCTACATTCACCTTAATTGCTGTTGCTTCTGGTTTGCACTGAGGCTGATAAGAAGCAAATCTGCCCCTGAGCAGCTCTTTCTTTCAGGGGACTCAGGCAGAAAAAACCAGAAACTAACATAAAACATTCCTCCCTTCTCCTCTTATCTAGAGCAAGAGTCTTCTCTTTGCTTCTGCTCCCCTGCTTAGAAGAAATCTGTCCACGTCCTGGCCTAGCTCCATCAAGTACTGGCATTCCTCACCCCAGAAGAGATTCAAGCTTGCCACCACCCTCTCCTGGCCTCCAGCCCCACAGGCCAGCATCGTGCCATTACAGCTCACACATGTGCCTACCCATCTGCCTTCCAATGGGCAGGGTTAAGTCTCGTCCTGGGAAAACTGGTTGGGGCGCGTAACCGAGTGGGAAGGGCAGTGGAGCTTGAGGACAGGGCACAATGCACATGCAGGTTCAAGTACTGTCTGAAGGTATTTATCCCTCAATGCAATGGGCAGAGGTTGGGAAGGCAGGGCTAAAAAAGACAGCTTGCTCAGGTAAGAGAAGTGGTCCAGCTATAGCAATACAGAGCTTCACACGGGAACGATTTTCTCTCCTTCCCTGGACGTTAGAGCGCTTAGAAACAACTCAGTATGAGGTGGTGAGATGAGCAAGATCCTTGGCTTCAGGAGTGTTAATAGGAATGGGAAGCAGGGTCTCCTGCTTTTCCTTTAAGACTGAGAAAGAGGGAGAGGAGGAAGAGTGTGAGAGAGAAAGCCCTGAAACTCGATAGGGAGCTCTTCTGGAAACAAAAAAGGGTGAAAGCAGAGTGGATGTGGATGCGTGGGCTGCAGAGCGGGGCCCCGGTGTCAGGGAGCACAACAAAGGAAACCCAAGCCTGGGAACTCTGTCCAGGGATTCCTGTGACTCAGATTTCTTTGTTATTTTATGACACAAGATGTAAAGAAGTGTAAGCTGGGAAAATACTGTGCTGTGAACTTTACCCGGCTTTCCTTCTTGAATGTTTCAGTTTCATGGATCTGGTCAATTTGTTCGAAGTTTGACACCGTCTAGTGTTCAGTAAGTTTTTTAAGAATATTTCAAGCATGCCGTATGAGCTATAAAGCAAGTAATAATGGTTCATTTCTTAAAATCACTGGTCTTTCTATGTGCTTTGCAACTCTGCAATAATTAAGGAATGACCCTCTGGTGTCCTTCGCTCACAAGCTTAAGAGATGTGAAGTACTTATAGCTCTTTCCTACAAAAGAACATACTTAGCTGGGTAACCTCCAGGGACACAGGAAATTTGCGTCCTTTCTTGTCCCCTTTTACAAGGGGATTTCTCCATGGGACAAAACTAATGGTACCTTAATTATCCAAGGGAATGAGAGGGAGCACACATTCTGCTCTCTTGTTGTGTATCTGCAGTTCCACTCGCTTCAGTAAATGCCCTTTGCTTAAGAATGCATACGTGGCTGATGCAGAGTTTAGTCCAGAGATTTTAATTAAAGCACAAAGGCTTTAAACTAACCTGCAATATTTGCAGTTGGGGATTTCTTAAAGACAGGGTAACTGGCTACTTACAGGAATACCGTCTGCCCCAGGGAATCCAGTGACTCCTCTTTGCCCCTGGAGTGAAACAGCACAATTAAAACCATATTCTGCCAAGTATTTTGCTCATTAGCTAAAATAGCTGATATTCAAAAGTTACCGTTTCTCCTTTGGGTCCACTTATTCCTGGATATCCTCTTTCACCTTTGTGACCTTTGGGACCCTGCACTCCTGGGATCCCCATCAATCCTGGTGGTCCAGTGAAGCCCTGTGATCCAAGGAGTCCTGGCTGGCCCTGATAAAAATAATAAAAAAGCATTTATTTAGGAACAGTTGTGATGCATGAAGCTGGATTAGTTGTCACTGCTGCAATGGAGTCAGTCTCTTGAAGAGAAAATAAACACAGAATCTCTTCCTGTTCCAGTAGGCCAGACTCTTTGATGAACGTCATCTGGAAACACCACGCAGAGGATCTCCAGCAATAGTGACCACATCAAGCATGACAAAATCCATCTCTTTGATGAACGTCATCTGGAAACACCATGCAGAGGATCTCCAGCAACAGTGACCACATCGAGCATGACAAAATCCACACATGGAAATTAACGCTTGAATCAATATTCACTACCTGAATATTCATGGCTACTCTATGAAAAAAGTGTTTTCTTTGGTACAAGGCTTCTCAAGGGTGATTCTCACTGACCTACAATGTAACCAATTACACTCCAAGCAAGAAAAAATACGCTTAACTGTGAAATTTGTTTAGTGGCCGTATTTCTTACAAACGGTACCTGATATTTAATGGCAGGAATTTCTGCCTCTTTGGGGATGATATTTCTATTTAACAGTGATTGGAAACTGGTTAGACATGCATGCACCCACACAGGTTGAAGACTTGCACGCAAGGCTCCCTTGTCATTGTCCCCTCCAATGCTGCTTCGGCTCTTCAGGCCACTTCAAACATTGTTTAAAAATAATCCCCTGTTGACTGCCAACATCACAAGGCTCAACAGGGGAAAAAAAAAAAAACCTTTGAAATGACACAACGGTGGTTTAAGTAATCGGTTGTGACAGTATGTCTGAGATGTGTGAAGCAAAGTATTTGAAAACCGCTCCAGACGTAGTGTCACTGAAGGCACATATGTTTTGCATGCTCTACAGTACTCAGTGCACTAATGACTCTAATAGTAAATTGCCACAATCTTTTCTGGAGAAATATACTTCAGTGGCGCAAAGCACTACTTACCAAGACTTTCTAATTAAGCCAATTCTAATGGAAGTATTTTAAAAACACAATTAGATTTTTCACAGACCAGTCTGCAACAGCATCAATATCTCACAAAGCAAGAATTACAGCAAAAGATGAACAAAGAGAGATATATATACAAATGAGCTGATAAAAAAGTTTTAGTAAGTAAAATACTTACACTCTCATCCATGCCTGGAAAGAAAGAGCTAGAAGATGCATGCAGTCCAAGAAGGATAACAGTTCAACTTCATTTAATGCCATTGACGTTGGAGGAGAGTAGGAGGGCAGTGTGGGGACTTCAAGAAATGAACCTGAGGATATCCTGATTTCTTTGTACTCACAAAGTTGTAGTAAAGATACTGAACAATGCCTTATTGATTTTAGGCAATATTTATTTTATTCTCATATTGAAGGACAGACCCTTTTGTCACACACTTTCAAAACTTCACAGTCAACCACCTACCCATAATTAGCAATTATCTATGCTACAGTTGTCTTAATATGGGCAAACCTGAAACAAACACTGTGACTGAGACACAGCTTACTTCTAATTTTTAAAACAAATCAGTTTTCCATGCTGCTTTTGTGGAAAATGGCTGTCAGAACAGTTGCAGTAGATTTTTATATTTTAAATCCTATGTATTATATCAAATGAGTCCATACGGAGAAGATGACATAGCCAAACAAAGCACAAAACTCAGTGCAATGTTTTTTTTTCTTGGGAAAAGAGAAGCAATAAAAAGAAAGAATTATATGAAGTTCCTAAGAAAAAGCCACTAGGATGGATCTCTTACAGTATGGATCTTTTGCTATAATGTTATGATCAATTTTGCAAAACTGATGGTTTAGGAGCACTGTCAAAAGACACCATGCTTTTAAGTGTTTGAGCTGTCAGTGTGAAAGAGAATCTCTCCTGTGCTTACAACCAAGCCCAACTTCAAATAGCATCCCTACTTCTAAACCAAGCCTGCTCATGTGGATTATTAGGTGTCAGGAGACAAATCTCTTCTCAGGTTGACAAACTGTGAAGTAACAAAGGTTCTACGAATACATACAAAACATAATATGATTCCTGTTGGCAGGAGACATACACATCTGAACAAGTGGCTGCTCCTTTCCTTATGCCATCCACAGCTGGCTGTTACAGATGCATCTTCCTCCACATCAGCAGTTTTCATTTCTTTAAAAATCAGTGAATCTCTAAAAGTTATCCTACGGAGGTGCAGATCCTTGTCTAACCAAATCCATAGCAGACATACTTTCCTTAGTTGCCTGACTCACATGGAAAGATGTTGATTAGAAGCACTAAAATAATGATTTAAATCCAAATCAATATTCATCAGTGTGAGCTCCAAGATCAAGAAAAAGAAGTCTTTTCTGACGCCACTTTTTCTCAACTTTTCTTACCTACTATGGCTCAAATTTTAAGTATAAAGGAATTACGAGAGAGTACATAAGAGCATACACCATGAAACTGCCATTTTAGAGAAAGAATAGATATTTTGTTCATTTTAAAAAATGCACAGTCGGTGTTCTTTATTTTTTTTTTGTAGAGCAGTATCAAATCTTACGCAAATATAAATACAAAATATTTCTGTCTTACTATAAAGCCTTAAAATTTAATTAAATACTTCAGCTAGTTTGTTCTTCCTCATACACCCAAATCTGGAAAGGAACCTTTAAAAGGGATGAAAACATATCTCATACACCTGCAAAGAACACAGAAAAATCATTCAAATTCAGTTGTAGAGCTCTGAGTTGGCTCCAGTTTCAATTTAATTTTGAATGGTTCTGAAAACAAATGTTTCAGTTACTTCCACAAAGAAGGGAAAACATGGATTCTGCACCCTGAAAACACCGTTTCATTTTTTAAATACCTGAAAGCTAAAAGAAGTCAAATAAATTCCCAAAGCTACACATCCACCTGAGATATGCAAACCATTTCTTTAGTGCCCACCTACACCCCATTCATGGGCAGCAGGCTTCAGGCAGATTGAGTGTAAAACATTCAGTTGTAACTTCTGATGAAATGCTGGTTATGTTCAGAACTGTCAAATCCGCACCTGGCTTTCTGCAGGGGCCATGCAGAGCTGCAGTACTTCAAAGGTGGCATTACATGGAACATGGTTACCTCCATTAATTCCTTCACCAAATACCACTCTCCCACTTCCAGTCCCATTTTCCTATCTGGTGTAGGGGAAGGAGTAAACAAGGAATGGAAAATGAGGAAAAGAGCTGGGCAACGCCAGTGCCCCCTCCCCATGCTTTCCTGGTAATTATCTGATCATTTGTTTGTTGAGAAATACAGGTTATTTAATATTATTTGCAATTAAGACAAGAGAATTGATCCTTCTGGGACCAGTTCAGCATGAGGCTAGAGTCAGAGCTGGGGAAGTACTTAATATCATGACAATGTTTGTGTAACCCTTCAGCCAGTTAGTAGCTTGGCTTGTTAACTGAATTAACTTTGTTAACCTTCATTAACTCAGACTTCAAGCTTTTACTCCGCTTTCTTTATGTTAGATCTTTCGTTGAACAAGTATGTCCCTTTTTCATTAGCAACTGACCTAAGAACATGCTTCCTTTGCAAAGGTCATTGAGGAGATTGAAGCAAAGACAATCAATTTGAAAGGTTTAGTCAAATAAAGCAGGACTTGATTGCTAGAGTCCTGAATTCCCCTGTGTGAAACCTGCCACACATGGTACTGGTCTACTTATGCTCCTGGAGGGTCAGAAATCCAGGAAAATTCTCCAAAGCTGTGAAATGATGTCTAGACTAAATTTCCAGGTTCAAAAATGTGAGAATAATGTTCCAGGTAAAAAAAAAAAAAAAAAAAAAAAAAAGGCAAGCCTAGGCAAACACGCTATCCCTATCTGCCATATTTTAGACCACTCACAAAGTACTTTCTCTCGTGCTCCCTTTCCTTAAATGATAAAGCAATGCAGATACGTGCTCTGGCCCATGGTGCTCTCCAGCAGCAGCTTCCCATTCTGCTGGGGTGAACTGGAACTCCTCCCGACTGCAGAGCGTGGCACGATTGCCCCATATCCCCTACCATGGGATCTACGGGCCAGTGCTAAGAGGCTTACCGACGTGTGCGGGGCACGCTATGGCCAGGACCTCGGAGGGAGCACGCGGAAAGTAAAGGAAGAAGTGTGCTGATGGAATTTCTTGAAGACTAACAAGAGGTTTTCCCCTTGTTCTTGTGCAAAACTTCCACAACTGTTCAGCTGAATTACAAGGCTCCCAACATCAGGATACACTCCCAAACAGGCAGTCCTGACTTTGCTCTTCCTGCAACTTCAGCTGACTGGGAGAGGTCTCGCACAAATCCATATGGCCAGCCCAGCCATATGCAAAAGCTATTTACAGAGAGGAGCAAAGGTCAGAAATTTAGGAAGTCTGGAGGAAATCTTCCCAGAAAATATTTGCAATGTTGTATATACATTGTCACTTGTCCAGTGATGTGCATGAAAGAAAATGCTGTCAGGGTTGTGATTGACTTTAATAACTGCATTTTGCAATTTAGTCCCAGTGGACTTAAGAAGATCCTGAACAGACTTTTAAATCTGTACTGAATGTTCATGTTTTGCAGCTTGAACTTTAATTTCCAGTTCTTTTAGGATCGGTCAAATGAAAGACTTGTCATGTTGCAATACTCTCTTCCTTCTAATTTACTGCTGAATTTACAGGGTCAAAACAAAACTGGTAGAGGATGGTGCACTAATTTTGAGAGCAACCAATTGTTTGAGGTGCCATACAAATAGAGATAAAACAAATGACAGTACCTGCTCCGAAACGTTTTAAAATACAAGAACATTGTCATGAATTGCTGAGAAACCCACCTACCAGGGTGTAGATAAGAAGAAAGGAGAAAGCTGTTGATTTGCAATAACGAGGAGACAGAATGGGAATTACTGCAGAGCTTCACTGTCATTGAGCCCATTTCTCCACATATCATCACAGACTTCTATTTTGCAACTGCTTCTGGTACATGGAATGTGATGATTCAGTATTCCCCACACGAAAACGATCCTTGGAGGTC